TGGTTAGATTACAGACAACTTCCCGAAATTCGACCAACCTTTTTGTCACAGATAAGAGGAGTACCACTCCACTATGATCACGCAATGTACGCAACGACTAGCGACTGGCTCAGTACTGAGCCGAATTTTCACGCGCAACTTTGTGCTTAGAAGATCTGTCTTCATAATGATCAGCGTATATGTTACCTTGTTGAAGACAGAGAAAAACATGGTCACAATATTCCGTGGGGGTTTAAAAAACAACATTATGGGTGTGTCTTAGCCATATCGAAATATGTGAGGGGGGGTGTCTTGGCTGCCCCAAACACCACAGTGGCTGTGCCCAGGCAAAACGCAAATGAAAGGTCACACACACGTAGAGTTCTCTTTGTCCGGTCACTTACCACTGTGGTTCAAGTTCAAGTTAATTTATTAGGTATAGCCCTGTGAGCCATTCGGCTCTTGAATCGGGTGCAACCGCAACAAACAAAAAACAAAAACATGAACAAGAAAACATCTTAAAGTGAATATGTGACTAAGTGCAAACAGAAAATCTAAGAAAAGACCAAAATATTGCAGAAAAAACACCGTACACCAACGCTGTGTGCAAAAATCCCAGTGGGATGCAAGTCAAACAACAACAACAACAACCACAACACAACTTAGATTAAGGCCATGGTAAAGTTTTTGTGGCCTGCATGGCGCACCATGCTTTCCACTTGAAGTAAAAATGCTAGGATACTTGCTGGCACTAGGTGTCGAATTGCATTTTGAGACGATTTGTGAATTTATAAACAAAAATATGTTTATTATGATGAGAGGTGTTAAAGAACCGGCCAAAATCTCCTTTGTAAACTGGAATACCATAATGAGCTACCATTATAGGAAATGGCCCTTCTCGCTTAAGAATTTAGGGAATAGAGCCAGCACGTGTATATATATCTATCTGCACATTTATATTTTACAGTGAGTTTGTGCTTGAGCACCAACTGAAACTCCACGTTTGCCTGTACCAAGCATTAAAACCAAAGACACGGGCTCATAACAGATAACAGCTTGGATGTGTCACCGACGCGGCTGGAGTGTGCGTTTGCACTCTGGACACAGGAGTTGCAGTCCTGTGTCGCCCTCTAAACCCCGAAACCGCAGCGCTTGCATACTGGCAGGACGGTGGGAAAGGAAGAAATGTACCAAAATAATCTATTTTAATGAGTTGCCTCTTGTGATTAGAATGCATAACGAGCAGCGACCTGGCTCCCGGTTGACTTGCCCTGAAATTAATTGAGCACGTGGCTAGGGGTTTGCACAACACGGGGATTCGGGCAGAGTTGAGGAGGTTGTGGGGGAGAAAGGGGCCCGCATTGAGAAATATTTACTACAGTTCTACGACACCCCCCCCCCCCCAATCGTGCGTGAGATTTACTAATATATCTGTAAAATACCCATAATAACTCAATGAGACGATGATTAATCCATGCATGACATTGGAAGAATGACCTGGGGCGCTAGTTTGTCAGCAGGGGATGGTGATGGGCGCGTATCATCCCGAGTGAGTAATTCTCGGTGTAATTGTAAAAAAAAAATGGCAATTTGGACCCTGATGCCAGCACACAATCGCCTTTGCCGTAGCAAATGACGTCAGGGGGGACCTTCATGTCCACAGTGAAGCAGATGGTGCATAGGGGCACTTATCGATTTAAAGCTTTCGTGACTGCAGGGATTCATCTTGTTGGTTCTTTCGGTAAAGTCACGTAGAAGGGAAGTAATAAAATAATAATAATTTTATTGTGTTTTATTTTTATTATTTTATTACTTCCCTTCTACGTGACTTTACCGAAAGAACCAAGAAGAGGGGCACTTATGTTTATTACAGCCGCAGTAGTAATTAGGGTGGCCGCTGAATTCGAACCGTGAACCTCTACAACAACAATCAGCAAGGCTGTGCCACCGCCTGACCACAGGCACAAGCACAACTGTGTTGGGTGGTGCAGTGACAAGGGGTTGTTTTTTTAATTCGGTTGCAATTGTGAACAATAGCCGTATCAGACATTAGCACATCTAATCGGCATGGTCATTGGTTCACTGCAGCTCAAAGACTTAGTCCTACAAGGTGTGTGGTGAAGTTAGGAGCTGTTCCATGTGCTTGGCATGTTCTGGCAACTGGGGGGCAAGGGCGTGGCTTGGCAGGATTTATCCACTCCACTATCGATCCTGCAACCTGAGTTCAACCCCGAGCCATGGCAAACTTCATTGATATCTAAACTGGGTGCAGCTTCCTTCCATCAACCTGCACTGATCGTAAAATTATTTGGTTTCATGTACAAAACACATTATATACAACTGCATATACATGTAATGCACGTCTGAATTGCACTTTTGTAAGTAAAGTACATTTAATCAGAGCTTAATTTTCTCACTTAAGATTTTCCGCACGACTGGCAGACTGTATGCATGTTGAACTTCTTTTGCACCGTACATAGCCAGCCGTGCTAATCGGAGGTGGCATGTGACTAGTAGCCCAAGCCTAGCGAGCGGTATACTGGATGTGGTGTGCTGGGTTCAGAAATATCTTCCGCGTCACTCACCTTGACAGACTCTGCACAATTGAAGCACTGTCATTAATATTTACAGCCCTTTGATGGACAAAGGTCTTCCCATGCAATAACGGTTATGGGAATCGTTTAACCATACTTCACCATGCAGGTAAACTTGGATATATGACAGAAAATGTGCAGCTGTCACTCTCCACTGATGGTAGCAATGGCAATGAATTAAACACAGGTTGCCAGGTTTGCTAAACACCATGCCACCTCTGCACCTCATTTATGTAAAGTCATATATACACGTGCTTGCATGTGTATACATGTATATGGTTATATGTGTGTGGATTGAGTTTATGGAAACCATTTAGGAACGTGTGGATATTTTCATTTGGATGGGGGCAGCTGGCATGCTAAGGCACAATAATCTGGCAGGGCATCGCTTTATATTAATGGAACTAAAAAGTGCGAGATTGTGACCGACTGCTCCAGTGAACGCCATCTGTACGTGCCGAAAGCTGTCACCCACTAGCCACACAGGTTTGAGTGATTTGTCTCAACTTGACCTGCTGGCATTAACTCATTAAGGCATCGGTAATTATCGCGTCACTGCTAATGCCTTGAGCCCTCCACCCAGCCTTGGCCAATTCACAGCTTTGGATTTTGAAAACAATAATCAATTATTCCAATCCCCTGGGATTTCCTGCTGAGACTTTTTTATTCACATAATGCAGGAGCGTGGAGAATTGTGGCTCCGCTTCGGGCTCCGTTTGCTTTAATCCCAATAAAATTAGGCTGGGACACACTGTGTCATGTGTGGTGTAATTGTTTGCACAGTGCACTATGAACCTGGTGAGCTGTGTTCAGTTCCCGCTCGTGGAAAATATAATTTGCAAATATCTGGTGTTTGGCCTTCCCTATGTCGTTGTGCGGTGTGTAACATCAAGCATTGGGGAGACAAATGCAGCCTGGCATGGTTTGGTCAACTCTCCTTGCAACCTTGACGGCCTTCAAAGCTGCTCACTAACAGCAGCTTCCCCAAAAGTTTTTTTTTGTGTAGGCTACATGGAGGAGCTTTGTCTTTGTGTGCGAGTGGTGAGTTTGGTGGAGGGAAGGGTTGGAAGTTGGGTTTGATCACTGCAATGCTCACTGACCAGCAAGCATTCAAGTCATGGTCATGGACAACACCTGTCGCATATGCTACACGAACCTGGCCTGGTATTGACCCAGGTTAGCTCAATAGAACATCATTTCCCAGTGCAGTGTGGTCAAGTTTAGCACTTGGGAGCGACGAGTTGGCATGCATGGCCACATGCATACCACAACCGAGTCGCTTTCGGCTAAAAAACACGTGACCTAAGAGCCTACGAGACTAAGCAACAGAGCGCGTGTGTAGTCATTGTATTTGCTGGTGTGCAAAGGAATTGAGGCTGGAAAACCCGAACGTATAAGTTGAAGCACGCAACACGACAAATGAACAGCTCTTGTAGATAAACACCTATGCTGTGTGTCCTGGATGGTCTGACATGAATCTGAAGCTTTGGTCGTGAAAAAATATTTTTAAATCCATCACGGCCATGCTCTAATCATATGAAATGTTAATTTAAGTATATGTAACGTAACGTCACTGACGGTCGCGATGGCCAGGAATTGTACTCAGGTTGCGAGGCTCCTAGCCCAGTCAATAAACTGCTCCAAGCTCGATAACCCTCAGACTCATGCCAAACAGCCTGGGGCTCGAAGCTGAGGAGTGTATGTGCAAGGGAAAGAGCTGCTGCTTAGGTGTTTGTGGTTGTGTTTGTGTTGTTTTTGCCGTCACATTTATTTTCGGTGGAGTAGAACGTCGCACATCGTGCCGATCAACACATGGTACAATCCGGAAACGCATCTGCGTGCTAAGAGAAGAGAGATTGAGATTTTGTAAAGATTTTGTTGTTTTTCTTTGGTTCTTTCGGTAAAGTGACGTATAAAGATAAAATAATAAATTAAATTAAATACTAGCATACGACGTTTCGATTGCAACACAAGCAATCATCATCAGGTATGAATTAAATTGAAACACAAATCGAGTATACTTATAAATGTAATGTAATACAACAAAGAGTCGGATAACATAACAGTAGGGTGTTGACTATTATGTTATCCGACTCTCTGTTGTATTACATTACATTTCTAAGTATACTAGATTTGTGTTTCTATTTAATTTATACCTGATGATGATTGCTTGTGTTGCAATCGAAACGTCGTATGCTAGTATTTAATTTAATTTATTATTTTATCTTTATACGTCACTTTACCGAAAGAACCAAAGAATAATTCCTGCAGTCACGAAAGCTCCAAATTAAATTTTGTTGTTTGTTTCTTAAGTCCGTGCCGAGTGCTTCATTCACCGCCTCTTGGACGAGCTGTAACCGGAGTGGCATGAATGGCTGCGTACGGCCATCTTGTATAGCGAGTCCGCTGTTGCTCTTCCCTGCGCAGGTGTACCGCCGCTGCTGGCTGGTGTTCAGGAAGGCGTCGGGCAAGGGGCCCCGGAGGCTGGAGAAGTACGGAGATGAGCGTGGGGCCTACTCGTACACCGCACACAAGGTAAGGCGCGCACCTGATGCACAACAACAGCAGCAACAGCAGCACCAACAGCTGCCAAAGTGGCGGTGATGTCACCGCAGCGCTCATGCCAGGCTTGGTGCGCTTTGAGGCCACGTGAAGTGTCGAAGGCTCGCTGACAAGTGGTCATGGGACGGATCCAGGTGTTACGCGTTGATTAACTGAGTGCTATCTACTGCGCCAACTTGATGCACACGTGTCACACTCGCTCACGTGTGTGATGCTGGCACAGGGCAGCACAACACGGTAGTGTGAGCCGGCAACACATATTTGGCCGCTGTTCGTAAATCTCTTTCCATTTTCAAAGCCTACTCCTAACAGTAACCTCAAGACGTGCCGTTTCATTGAAATTGATTTACCATTTAACTTACAGCCTTAATCACAACAAGCATATCTTTTTCCTATCACGTACAAATATAGCCCTTATTCGAATACTAACCAAAATCTTGCTTTTGCTCTCACCCGAACAAGCAAAGTCTTTCATATACAGCCCAGGGTTCGGCAACCTGCAGCTCCAGAGCCGCATGCGGCTCTTTAAGTAGCACCATCTCGTATTCGCGTGCTTTGCAGCCTTTGAAGTTATCGAGCTTTTTACCGAATTCGAAGAAAAAAAATGTCTCTTGTTATTTGGGTCGCCGACCCCTGCCTAAGCCCCGAGAGGTCTGCCCCTTGCCGTGACTCCCGTAAGCTTGGCCCTTATCCTATATTACCCCAAGCCTTAACAGCCCTACTACTAACCCTAGCGCGAACTTAAATCGTAACAAACTTAGCCTTTACTCCAACCCTAACCCCTTCGCATAGCTCGAATGCCAAGCCTAAACCCTTAACCCGTGAATTTCCCTCACGGGTGCCGCAAAGGCCGTAGCAATTCGGGGTCTTCCACGCAGAACTCGTCGGCGTGCGTGCCGAAATCCCGCCGTGTGCCACTCAAGCCGTGGGGAGCCACAGTCCAGGTGTATTGGGTCATTGCTCGCGCCAAGGACCCGATAATGACAAAAATGAGCCCTCAATCGACGCAACAATACAAGCAATTTGCAGCGTAGGATCAATGGACGTGACTTATACAAAAAATATATATTGCGGGAATGATAAAAAAACAAATATCTGGAATAAAAATGGTCTGCTTTGGCACGCTTGATAATGAATAAATCATCATTATTGTTACCCATTTGGTACACGATACAGTATGGAATACTATAAAAGTATGTGTTTTAAATAAGACTGGGGGAATGTGTCATATGTTACACGCAATCATTCATCAATCCTTCCCTGACAGCAGCTCATTGAGAGGCCCAAAATGAATCTGGATATAACAACTCGTATATCACGACGGTCAATAGCAGCGATGTGACATGTTAAAATAATTCTCTGTTGAGGCCAACGATGGAGTGGCGGGAGGACGTCCCCACTGCACACGGGAGATGAAACCGGCTGACGTGCGAGGAGCTACCGCAATTGTTGCATCTCGGAAATCTGTCGATTTAAAGCTTTCGTGACTGCAGGGATTCATCTTCGTGGTTCTTTTGGTAAAGTCACGTAGAAGGGAAATAATACAATAATAAAAAGAAAACATGATAAAATAATTCTCACGACGTTTCGGCCACAACGCAAGCAGCCGTCCTCAGGTGAAAACCAGGTCTGTCGAGGCGACAGCGTCCTCAGGCGAAAACCAGGCTGCTTGCGTTGTGGCCGAAACGTCGTGAGAATTATTTTATTATGTTTTATTTTTATTATTTTATTACTTCCCTTCTACGTGACTTTACCGAAAGAACCAAGAAGATGAATCACGGAAATCGTCAACGGTGGTGACGGCTTGGGAAGGCTTTCATCCAGCAAGTGCGCAGACCGTGGCTGCTTCTGCCGCGCGCACGATGATGAATAACAGTAATGGGTTTGATTGTTCTCTTAAAAAGAGTGTAATAATCATATGCGAGCTTGCGTAACCGATAACGTTATCGGCGGTGCACAGACGCAGCTGTTAACGAAGCAATGACTCAAACCCAGCGGAGAGCACGATCGTGACTCCTCCTTAACGAGTTCATGCCGTAACAATGTGAGCTGCACGAGAGGAAATTATTTGAATCGACAGAGAAAAAGTATGACGCGGGGAAAGACAGAGGTTGGAGGAGAATGGGGAAGAATGAGTTCGTGGGCTCACTCTGGGGTACTGTACGTTTGTCATGCATGTAATTTTTTTTTATGCAACAGCCAATGCTTCTATGGTTGGATGGTCCGGAAAAGGAGACTTGATGCTTCGTGAGGCTCTCTCTCTCTGCGTGCCACGTCCTTTCTTAAATAAGTCGGCGATCGTTTCCTTCCTTCCAATGCGCTGTCTCCGACATCGCTCAAGAACTTTGGATTTGATGATCCCGGGCGCATCCAATTGTTCAAATTGCTTATGCGATTACCGTAATTCTTTTTCGATTTAAAGCTTTCGTGACTGCTGGGATTCATCTTATTGGTTCTTTCGGTAAAGTCACGTAGAAGGGAAATAATAAAATAATAAAAATAAAACATAATAAAATTATAATAATTTTGTTGTCTTCTCCGGCGGCTTGTATCTTAAAACATTTCCCAGTCAATAAGTCGGCGAGGCGACATAGGCGAATGCAACGGAACCCCACGAAGTTGTAATGCAGTGAGATCGAAGAGCGTGTCATGTTACGACAGGGAGAATTGGAGAGACATTAGCACTCTAGAAGAAGCCAAAGAGAGAAGGGGCGGAGGGAGGGTGAGAGGAAGGGTTAGAGCAAGAAAGATGTTTAAAAAGGGGATGCAGAATAGGCAACAAGAAAAACATAATCAAGGGGACACGGAGAGAGATGTTAATGGGCAGAGAGAGCGAGAGAGAGAGGATGTGTTTTAATGAATCGGTACGGAGGCGCTGTCGCTATCGCCACGGTAATTATGGGTAGGAGGCGAGCGCACGTGCACTCGGAGTAATTGCCCACGGCGTCGGTCGGCGGTGTAAAAATATCCATCACTGCCTTGGAGACGGTCGGGAGAACGGAGGCACACAAACACACACACACACAGGTGCAGCAACGCGAGACGGAGGGGGGAAGGAAAACAACAAGGAAAACGTTTTTCAAAGCCACGTCGCAATTTATTCCTTTCCAGCCTTAGTGCAATTGACGCTCCGGCTCAATTTTAAATTAGTCGAACATGAATTAAGCTTGTCATTCAGATACGCATGTATGCGCTTTTATCGACGGACGTGCTGTGTTTTACTGGAGGAAAAAAATATATATTTACACGTTTACATGATTAAACGCACGTTTATTGTGTAATGAAAGGAGCTGCACTCTAATTATGACCGTTGAAAGGTGTTAATGAATACTTTTACGATATGACGCGTAGGAATATACGGTGGTGCAAAGCTGAAACGGAAGATCTATATTGAGCTTGTGTTGTTTGCCAGTGAGGAGTGGTATTTTTGAATGTGTTGTTTGTTGCTTGTTAACCTGAGCATTGCAATGAGGAGTCTTAATCCTGGGCTTCATTATTGTGGTCGATTGGTCTTTGCCTTTCCGTAGTATTCTTGTTGTGTGTTTCGTCCTTCACCTCGGGGTATTGTAGTCATTGATAAATTACATAAACAGGTGAAGGTTTGTTTCACAGCCCAAAAAATAAGATCTTGGTCCATCAGTCTATCGGCCCTCTGGACCAACATTGATTTCCAGCGCAGAGATTATTTAATATTTCAAACTCTGCACCTGTTTCAACCTTTTGCGCTTCACCTTGATGTGTGTACAGTATGTATTTAGAACTTTTTTCGCACCGTACGTAGCCAACCGTGCTAATCGGAGGTGCGGGGGAACGACGACCAACTAAAACACAAAAAGCAGTTCTTAAGAAATGAGTTTTCAATCTACGTTATACAAATATGATGCTTGGCATCATATTTGCAATAACCTTTTCTGCATTGCACATTCGTTAAGCTCCTGGTGGTGTGGTGTTTTTTGCTGTATTGTGAGAGCATTCAATTCTGGTTGTTGCTGCAGTGTTGTATGGTTATTCACACCTAGATGGGCTTGCTGTTGAGGTGTCGTATCGTCATTCACATCTCGATGGTGTAACTGTGCGGGTGTTTTATAAAGAGCGCACATCTATAATGGAGGTTTATTTTTTTTAATTAGATCGCGTAAATATAAATGTGTCGCTAAACCCGCCACTATCCCAACACAGCCAATTAGTAAGGTTTGTCACGTGAACAAAACATGCCAGTCGGTTAGTAGTTCAGCACACCGGTGTGTTGGATAGTATACCCACAACATTTAACAATTCGAAATGTGGGTTTAATCTCCAACGCACCGGTGTGCTGAACTAGTAACTGATTGGCACGTTTTGTTTACGTGAGAAGCCTCACTAATTGGCTGTGTCGGATGGTGGCGGGTTTAGCGACACATTTTTGAAATTTACACGATCTAACCCAAAAACACCTCCGTTGTGCATGATAATGGTCGCGAAAGCCTACTACTACTACGTGTTACAAACAATGCACACCTGGGCGGCGCGGCCGTTGCTTTACCGCGCACGAGCAATTAACCTCGCGGGTCCATGTGGGCCCCGTCGCGATTTCCTGTGCGGCCCCCGTTCACCCTCCGCCCGCTGTCGCCTGTCCGCGGAGCGCAGGCGACGGACCTGAGCGGCGCGTGCGCCGTGCTGCGTCTCCCGCGGGACGCGCGGCGGCACGGCGTGGCCATCACCCTGCACGACGGCTCCACGCGCTCCTTCGCCTGCGAGTCCGGTAAGCTTCGCCGGAGACTGCCGCAAGCGCCGGGGCCGCCGCGCCTGTCGGCCGCGCGGTTTCCCCGTCGGCACGCAAGGAGACGCGCGCGGAAAGTGCGATGCGGTCAAAAGCGTCGGCGGTTGCCGAAGAACTGAACTGTGCTCCTTTTACATCATGGGACCTCCTTTGCCAGTATCAAAATATACTAATAGGGTTTTCCCCTTTTTTTCTGGCAACAAAAACTGACACCTTTTGCAAGGAATCATGCTTACATTAACCATAATACTTGCAGTCAAATGCAAACAAAAAACAATACTCTGATAATTTATGCATTGTCTTTGAAACTGATTGGTCCACACCAGAGACAGCTTTCTTTAGAGCCTAGTCTCATATGGTGTTCGACCATATGAGACTAGGCTCTAAAGAAAGCTGTCTCTGGAATCAGCACCCAAAAATGACCTTGAAACCGTTGGAATACCTTATGCCAGAAAAAGTGTGTTGACCAGTGCTATCAACAGCTGTAGTGGCATCAATGCCATTGGCCGTGATGACCTTTCGACCTTGACTGTGTCGTGTTGAACGTGTGTGTGTGTATGCAGAGCTGGAGGCAGAGGAGTGGTGCAAGCTTCTGTCACTTGAGTGTCTGGGCAGCCGAGCTAACGGCATCAGTCAGGGAGAGCCAGATCTTCTGGCGGCAGGGGCACAGCGAGAGCAAAATGGTTTGCCCCATCACTTCCTTCTCTGATCGCACATCTTTCTCAACTCAAAAAGACCTCCGCACGACTCAATAAACTCTCATTTAATTTAGTTTTCTCACTTGAATTCCTCATTTGCTGAGTTTTTCAATACCTTGGCCTCCTTGAGTCTGACCTTCACTGCAACATATTAAATTGTATAAATAATGAGACTCTCTTGGGTTTTTTTTTCCTATCATGACAAAAGGCTCTTTTAGCTCCATTTTGGGCAGAGATAATAACGCAACCTTGTTTAGGAAATTCAATCCCCTATCGATTCAATGACGAAAGTTATTACGATGGACATCCTCCTCACCTCTTATTATGCTGGCATCTTAATCGATCACTTTCCTCGTGACTCCTATTTCCTTCGGGTGGCGCTGGCTCAAATAATAAGACACAAAATAAATACAAAATATCTTAATTCGACAAATGCCAGAATTTGATTTTTTTGTTCGTCTGTCCTGCAAGGCATTAACTCGGATGATGCACAAATTCGCGTCAAAGAAATGGTTTCCAGAACCGTGTGTGTCGCGCGTGAAAATGCGTTTGGATGTGCATCAGTGTACTCACGTGGCCGTGTGTGTGAAGCTGTTTCTGTGGGCTCGTGATAATAAATGAGACTAAAAATGCTTGATTTTTTAATTGAATCGCAACCCCAAATCACGACAATTCATTGACTCTCTGTGGAGGCAAATGGAGGTTTGTGAATTGTTAACATGCCAAGGGAAACTGAATAACTTGTGCATTGATGTGAATGTGACAGTGAGTATGTGGGGAACGGTGGCGCAGCGGTTAGCGCGCTGCGCTACAAACCCGGCGACCCGAGTTGTGACGATTATCTGAATCGCTCCTGGGCCTCCTCGACTCGGCCTCAAATTAGTACCTGGTGCGATGTGTAAACATCACCACTGGAGAGACAAAGGCGTTCGGGAGTGGTGCTGGCCACCCGTCTGCCCGTGTGCTGTTCTGGCCTTCATAGGTGCTCACTAACAGCACTTTCTACAAAGGTCTTTTGAGGCTATACGGCGGACCTTCGTTTGTTGTGGGCTTGTCCTTGTCCATGTGTGCGTTCGTGCATACGCGCTCTCAAAACATCACATCGGGTGCATCTGCAGAGTTTGCAAGCGTGGTGTCCTTGCAAGGGTACATCACTGTGCATTTGTCTCGGCATTCAACCATGCATATACACATCCCCTGGCTGGGCGTTCATGTGTCGATCCTTTGTTGTGTGCCTTTACACTCGTACGCAGTACGTGCGCATGTAATAATACATCTCTCGGTTGTTTTTGTACTTCAGGGTGTGTACGCACCTTTGACTGTCAACCTTTGTTATATTTCTTTAAGTCACACCTTCTGTTATACTGCCCCCACAGTCTGGAGCAACCTTCCCATCCCTTATCATCCTTTTTGGGAAACTCCCACCAATTAAAACCTATGCAAAATCCACAGCTCTTCACGTTTATATGATCATAATTCCGTGCAGCCACCATACAGTTAACTCGCCTACGTGATTAAATTATATATTTCTTATCTCGCTCGCACAGTGTCTCAGGGGTAGCGTTATATATTGAAACTTTGAAAATTGTCCTGTGATACATTACATTACAGAGTACGGATGCGTGAGGGCAATGCACAATTTATTTTTCGCGGTATTTTTGTAAAAACATTCCCTGTTTGTCTGTCACTCTTTTTCACGAGGGGGTCCTCGTAGGGGGGGTTCAACTAATAACCCATTGAGTATCTCAAAGGGCTATGTAAATCCTCGTTGCATTGTAGAGAGACCCATCGACTCGCACAGAGACCACTGTTGTAGTCCAAGCTCCAGATCTTTTTTCCCCCACATCTCCGATTTGCACGGTTGGCTACGTACTGTGCGAAAGCAGTTCAGCACTCGTACATCTTCCTTTTTTTCCCCCCTGCCTATGACTCTCTGCCTGTTTTATAATCATCATATTCCGAGCCAGACATTACATTATTGCACGGGAGGTCAGCTGCAGGGTCAGACCTGCGCACCTCCCGAATGCGAGCGCACGCATGGACGCTCTACGAATCGACGCCGTGTTGTTGCGTTGCCCTGGCAGAGCGCTTCGCTGTGTACCTGCTACCGTGCCCGGGCCTGGAGCTGTTCGGGGCCTGCTCACTGCAGGTGACGCCCGAGAACATCCACCTGTGGGACACGCGGGACCCCCGCCTGCGCCTACTCACCTGGCCCCTCGTCTCCCTGCGCCGCTACGGCCGCGACGCCACACGCTTCACCTTCGAGGCCGGACGGTAACCACCACAGCATTGGCGGAGGCTCACTCGGTCTCACCGTATAATATGTGCGCGCGCGCTCGCGTGTGTGTAATTAAACGGTGTGTGATAACTCAGGCAGCAATGATGTCCTGTGGGCATTGATGTCGCCATACTATGGCTTCCCAGGAAATAGAGCAAGTGGATTAATTCCTCTCCGTTGCCATCTGTATGATGAAAACATCTGAATATATATGGGGACTGCAGAGCTTGGGCAAATTATTGGCTCACCACCTTTTTGCCTTGCCGCTCGTCTGTGGCTTCTCGTGCCTCTGAGTCTTTTGCGGTTTCCCAGAGCGAGCGAGTGCTGTGCTGCATGTTACAAGTACAACTTTATTATTTTAGGCTGAGTTCAGGCTGAGCTAAGGTCACATACCAAATGCCAGTGGGATGCATGGCCTAGAAGGAACCCAGGTCATTGAAATAATTGTGATACATGAACCACTACATCTCCATTCATACACACACACACATCAAGACAAAGATCTCCTCTATAGCCACCATAGGCTGATGGGCACTTATGAAGGCCGACTTGGCGCACGAGGGGGCAGTATGGTGAGCACCTCGCCTGGCCGCCTTTGTCTCCCAAGTGCTGATGTTTTTACAAATTGCACCACGTTCTCATTTATGGCTGAGTCAATGTAGGGGAGAACCAGGACCAGTTCAGATAATTGCCACGGCCATTAACCATGGCCGAGAATTTAACCCAGGTCACCGGGTTCGTAGTGCAGCACGCTAACCACTATGCTATACCACTCTCCAGCACAAAAGCACACACCCACACAAGCATAATTCATAACCAACGTGCATATATGCCACTTTTACGCGCCCACGCGGATGTCATTGATTTAGCAAACATTGTCAGTCCCTGCATGACATTCCCTCGGGCGGCAAACAGCACTTGCACCTCCCTACGGGAGCACGTGTCCCAAATAATCACTCGCGCTCTTCACGCACGACACATCATTGCCTCTCGCTTTCATTTTTTTCCCCTCAGCTTTTTCTCTTTCTCGCTGTCTATTCCTGTCCCCTGGAGCGCCCGTGCACACGATGGCCAATGACAGCACCCTGCAGTGAATGCACATACACACACTCCCTTTAGGGCAAAACCACACTGGCACAATCAATTATAGGTCACAGCTGTTGGGGTAGATGTGTATGTATGTGTATTTAAGCGTGTAGTATGCATGAGTACATGCGAGCGCGCGCGTGTGTCTTTGTGCTGATTGATGTGTAAACATCTACTATTGTGTGTGTAAATCTTGCACGCTTATATATGTCGAAATCTGCACTCGCCCTGCGGTCGACTGGCCCAGACGAGGAGAGCCCAGCAGTACAGAAAGCAGACAATAGAGCAAATGCGGGTAACTATTAAAATGTAGCTATGATGTTGGCAATAGCATTTTGTAATGGTAAATTTTAATAGGGGTCAAGGAATGAAATCTGCCCCTCCCACTGGCGATTCAATGAATTGTCATGATTCAGCGCCACATTTACATTCAAGATTCGTTTTTTTTTTTACATTGTGGTGAATGTAGCTTCCACTAATGGTTAAAGGCATCGGTGAACCCATTACATACAATATGAATCAACAACATCGATTCTTTTACACACGTTCAAAATTAAAATTAATCGACACAGTGCATCGCTGTACCTCCATGAATTTTAAATTGAAGCTTTACAAAAGTGCGTTTATGGTTTTAATCTACTCGCTGTGCCATGAGCTTCAGAATCACGGTCATTCACAGCGACAAAACAATGTCACGACAACTGAAAAGTGCGCCAAGGAGGAAAGAGCAATGCGTGCTTGGAAGCTCATTGAGAGACAAAGGAAGGAACATGTATCGGAGAACATAAGCACGTTAATGACATCAAAGAAAAATGAGCTAGCTTGGTGCAAGACACATTGCTAAAGGGTTCGATAATGGCAGATGGTCAAGAATAATGACCAAGTGGATTCCGAGGAAGGGAACGCATCCGGGAGGATGCAGCGATTAAATCCGCTCGTGTGCAGGAATGATGCGGATTATTACATCGCAGAATCGCGAGAGATGGTGTTCGGTCAGCAGTGGATTGACCATAGCTGATGATGATGCATTGCATATTCTTAGGTTTTTTCGGTAAAGTCACGTAGGTAAAAAATTAAAATTAATAAAAGTAAAATAAAAATAAAACAAAAACCACGACGTTTCGGGGGCAACACAAGCTTCCGTCTTCAGGTGGAACCGTCACAGCACGATAGCTGTATCAAGTGAGAGAAATTCCAAGAACACAGTATTTGTATATATACTGGTTGAGGGTGGGAGGAGCCAAGGTAGGCCCTGAATATTATTTTTTTCTCGAGATGCATTGCATCTTTCATTGATATATTTTGTTAGTAGTTATAGAATATTTACAATGGTTACAGAATGGACACGCAGGCTACGTTTCACTTTCCATCAGTTCCGGGCAAGGCTCCTATAAATTGCGTTTAACTACAAGCTAACGACAATGCATAAATTGATCTTCTGACTCATTTACTTCAGCGGGACAGGGTAGAACGATCGCACGTGCATAATGTGTTTGAGGCGACATGCAGTGTGAACACAAGTGGTGGCAACTGAACCGAGTGCGTTTAGCCATGTGTGTAATGTTTTCACACGACGAAAATACCAAAGTTATTTCCTGCGCTAAGGTTCATCGAGGCATTGGTGCTCATCTCCTGTTCACAGCACCGAGCCGGTGGTCGAAATTCCTCATTCCTATGACAGGGCTGAGTCTCTCCGTAAGACAACCACCGTTGACTTCTCCACAAAGTTGTGCTCATTTTTATCGAACTCACAAACAACTTGATAATTGTTTTTTTACCCTTTTATCTGGCAACAAAACTGACACCTTTTTTATGAGGAGTCATGTTTGCATAGACCACAATACCTGCAGTCATAATGCAAACAAAAAACATAACTCTGATAATATATGCACTGTCCTTGAAGTTGATTGGTCCACACCCGAGACAGCTTTCCTTAGAGCCTAGTCTCACATGGGTTGGACCAGATGACGCCAAAAGGCGCACAACTCAAAGACAATGCACCATCAGAGTATGAGAGCTCGGGGTAAGCATTTACACCATTGGTATCTCATTTGCCAGTAAAAATATGATAATTGTTTTTTTACCCTTCTATCTGGCAACAAAACTGACACCTTTTTACGAGGACTCTCGGGTGTGGACCAATCAACTTCAAGGACAGTGCATACATTGTCAGAGTTATGTTTTTTGTTTGCATTATGACTGCAGTTATTGTGGTCTATGCAAACATGACTACTCGTAAAAAAGGTGTCAGTTTTGTTGGCAGATAAAAGGGTGAAAAAACAATTATCATATTTTTTACTGGCAAATGAGGTACCAATGGTCACAAACAACTTGTGAAAGACCCAGCGCAGAAGATCCCTGGTTTCGATCCTGCACGCGGCTCATGGTCCACCCTAAATAAGATCCACTGCACACACCAATGGCAGACGCGGATACCTGATGCACAAATGGTAAATAAAAAAAAACTCTCCAGTGTGCGACTGTGGTCATCCAGAACAAGACCGTGCAACGTGTAACGACGCAGTGCAGAAATAGGGAGACATCAGAGCGATACACTCCTCTCCTCCTGACGCGATTATCTGGCTTGAGCACCCGAGTGTGAAATTGTATTTATTGCTCTGCATCTACATCAGCCGTACAAAAGAAGAAGATTGTCTCGACCCCGGAGATGATGGGCTTAGTCAACCCCCAACCAGAATTTGAACTCTCTCAACATTTTGATTGCAAGCCGTTTGCCCGACCACTGAGCCACCCGTTGCGCTGCCATAGGCAGTATCCGTTATGCATGCTTGTTAAGATTGTACCAATGCTATTTGTTTACTAATCACTACCGCACTCCATAGAATTGAGCGTTGGCATCGGCAGTGCAGGAGTAAAAGATGGCTAAGCATGTTTTTTTGCTCCACTGACTCTTTTTTTGTGTTCGCTAGTAGCACACAACCACAAGCTTGCATCGCGTTGTCGTCTCTGCTTAATTCATATCCATATGTAGGATAATGAAAGGACAATCAACAATCTAGCCAGGATAAGTGGAAAGCCGTTGTTTTGCCTGCCATGTACAGCGAGTTCATAAAAGTATTAATCATTCAATTATTATAATCAGACAACAGTTTCTTACATGCCAACCAATACGGTTTACCCAATTACAGGGAAATTGAGTAAAAATATTTGTCTTAATTGTTTCTCCCTTGTGATGGGAATTTGTAGGATGAACGTTGGGATTTATAAGGGCACGGGGCGACCAATAAGGTCTGAATTGGTCTGTAATAAGGTAGGGCACTGATAAGGGGTTGACAGGTATGCAGTTTGAACGGTGAAATTGAAAATTAGGCGTCATCCAGTTTTCCTTGTATGCTTTCGTTTTTAACGTTTTATTTTTTTCTTCCAAACTGAAAAGCTCGAGGGATAAAAAAAAAATACAGAACAGACGTTTGGTAAAATCACACCTGGGATGTTGGTGAACACCTGCAACCAATCCCATTATCGGCAACTGGAGGTCAAGAGGGATGAAACTCTGTAGATAAAATCTTCATCCATCCAAGCGTGTGTGTGTGTGTAGTGTTATCGACCTAGCTCAATCTGCTGTCTAATTGTACCTCTTTATCAATGGATGATCCCTTCATGGACTCGAAATACATCACCCAATCAATGGCACATTACATAATTGTAAGCGCTTAAAAAAAACCAAGTCAATACCGCATCGAAAGTACCGTAATTTGATCAATCTGCGATTATTTCGAGCTAGGGCGTTTTTTGGGCAGGTTCGGCGAGAGTTCCCGGCTTAACTCCCTCGCTGGTTACTCGCGGTCTAAACCCGTACGTGTAGGTATATACGTACGTACGTACGTTGAACTTCTTTGGGACCGCACCTAGCCCAACCGTGCTAATTGGAGGCACGTTTGCGGGCGTGCGTGCGCGTGTGCTTTGTCGAGACAGGTCATGTGACACGGGCGAGGGCCTCTTCACGTTCCAGACGGCGGACGGCGAGGAGGTGTACGAGCGCGTGCACGCGGCCACGCTGGCGCTCGCCGAGCAGCATCGCCGCGCCCTGCTGGAGCTGCAGAACAACGCTCGCGTCAGTGCACAAAGACAAAGATCTGCCCGTGTAGCCTTTAACAGACCGTTAGGGCAAGTGCTGTTAGCGAACACCCGATGAAGGCCCGCACGACACACGAGAGGGTGGGTGGCCAGCACCACTCCCGGCCGCCTTTTGTCTCCCCAGTGGCGATGCGTTTTTATGCATCCCACTCGGTACTCATTTGAGGCTGAGTCGACCTAGGGGAGGCCCATCACCAGTTCAGATGATCCTCACTGGTGTTGGCCATGAGCGGAAATCGAACTCGGCTCTCTGGATTCATAGCTACCACTCTTTACACACGAAGAACCCCCGTATAGCCTTGAATAGACTGTTGGAGCCACGTGCTGTTAGAGTAGCACAGTTGGCTGGCTACGTATGGTGCAAAAGAAGTTTAACATACATAGAGAGCACCTGTGAAGGCCAGCATAGCACACGAGGGGTTGGGTGGCAAAAAACACACCTGGTCACCTTTATGTCCCCACTGCTGAAATTTACTACACACTGCACCACACTCGTTTAAGGCTTACTCAACTTCAGAGAGGTTCTGGACCGGCTCAAGTATTCGCCACTGTTATTAGTCATGGGCGAGAATTGAACTCAGATCACCGGGTTCGGAGTGAAGTGTGCTAGCCACTGCACTACCGCTCCTACACACACACGTGCTTACATATGCATACATACATGCACACATACACAACTATGAAGATCACCGCTGTACCCTTATAGACTGTTAGGGCAAGTGCTGTTAGCCAGCGCCTATTTAGGCCTGCACAGCACGCAATGGGGTGATGAGACCAGCATCACACCTGGCCACGTTTGTCTCCCCAATGCTGATGTTTACATACCACACCGAGTACTCATTATTGTCAGGGCAAGCTTTGAATGAGTGCTTATAATGGTTGATACAGATGCCGTTTGATAATTTATGTTGTTGGATGATGATCATGCTTAGACAAATGGATGATGATGATGATGATTCTGACAATGATGTGATAATGAAAGCAACGATTATGACGAAGATGATGTTCTTGATTGACAATGAGTATAATGGTAATTATGATGCTAACGCGAGTGCTAGTTGATGATAATTATGATGATGATGGTATTAACGAAGATATTAAATTATTGATTATGCTGCTGCTGCTGCTAATGATGATAATGAGTCCCTGTCTTCCAGCTGCTGAGCCCTTGCGGTGAAGACCTCGCTCCGAGCGCCATGCTACCACGCAGCGCTTACTGGCGCCACATCACACGACAGAACAGTGACTCTCCTGTCTATGCTGACGGTATGCATGCACCCACAAAGACAGACGAAGATCCCCCGTGTAGCCTTAACAGACAAGTGCTGTTAGCGAGCACCTATGAAGGCCGACGCGGCGCATCAGGGGGTTGGTGGCCAGCACCACACCCAATCGCCTCTGTCTCCCCAGTGGGGAAATGTACAAACCGCACCAGGTACTCATTTGAGGCTGAGTCGACCTAGGCGAGGCCCAAGACCGGTTCGGATAATCATCACTGGTGTGAGCGGGAATGGAACTCTTGTCGCTGGGTTCGTAGTGCAGCGCGCTAACCGCTACACTCCCGCTCCCCACATGCTCACTGTTACATTCATATCATTGCACAAGTTATTCAGTTTCCCTTGGCATTTTAACAATTCACAGACCCTCATTTGCCTCCACAGAGAGTCAATGAATTGTCGTGATTTGGGGTTGCGATTCAATTAAATAATAATCAATCAATCATTTTTGTCTCATTTATTAGCATGTCATTAGCATTGTTTTTCTTTATTGTCTTATTTGTACATTAGTGTACGCTCCATTATTCCAAATGTAACATTATGACATTACTTGCATATAATTTGCATTCATTGCAAAAAACTGATTCTCTCGCACGTAATAATGGGTTTTACACGATGCATCATAGCATGCCATATTTGTACCAAGATATACTTAACATGCTGCATCAACGTAACACGGTTACATTAATGCAAACATCTCCGTGTTGTTGTTTTTGTTGTTGTTAAACATACACTGGCATATACTGAAATATTTATTGGAGCCACCGTTAACAAGTTAATGTCCACCTGTGTATTTTGCATTGTCAGATGCAGCCAGCATGGCAGCTGTCCTTCCTCGTGCACACACCTTCTGCACTCTCAGCCAATCACAGCAGCCCTTCAAGGCCTCGACTCCTCTCTTGGCTTCAGCATCTCCTGGGTCGCACACTCATCTGACTCATCTGGTCCCGTCGGCGGACTCTTGAGGTCTCATCCTATCACAAGTCACAAGTGAATCCAAATAGCAGACAGGAGCTCCCTGCGGTTTTCGTACCACGCATCTTTACATATGCACGCTGGACACAAATCCCCACCGAGTAGAGCAGAGCCATTTGACGAGCGTTTAATCTTGGCTTAAAATTTAGTTCACATCACCCTGCTCTGCCTGGGTGGATAGCGTGGCGTGTGATTGACCATGCCTTCAGGTCTTTCACCTGAAATGTGATTGTAGAACAGGCGTATTGATTAATGAGCGGGTGCGGAAGGTTTCCGCTTGATGTTTTTTTTGTCTGGAGGGCCCATGAAAAGATAATGATTTAATTTACTAAAAGCTACACATCGACACCACGGAGATTAAGAGCTTTGTGGGTGCAAATGCTTTGTACGATGGAAAGTTTTGGGGTATGAAAATTTTAACTGACGTATAATTGTGTTTTTATTGCTGTATATCTTTTTGAAATCGGTCAGTCACCTTTTAATGCCAGGTATAATACAAATGTTGACAATTGATTAATTGAACCCTTAACTTAATGAGTAATTATTCATTAAATATGAACCTGAATGAAAAATAAATATAAAGTATCTTGCTGATAACTTTGTGCAGATTGACCAATGACAAGGTTTATAAAGGGGAAGATTATTTGGATCCTACCTTGACTGCCACAAGATTACAGTACAGAAAATGTACTGAATATTGATCCTTCTGAACATTTGAAACAAGGTCAGATGGTCAAACGGGATGTATAATGAACTCTTTTTTTCATTGTCACGTGTGTTAGGGCTGGGACGCATTTGCAATAAAGCGACCACATTGTGAATTGATAAATCTCGTGAACTTAGACTTCTGTTTAAAGAGTCCAGCTGAAAAGCATTTCTACTTTTTTAGGATCTTGTAAAAAAATAATGTCTGCTAGAATTACTTATTTTAGAAGTCGAATGATAAAGGTCAAATAAATGATGTTAGTAATAATGTCATGTACAGTTGTTGTGTGATTGGACTAATTACACATCTACGTCTTGTGGTGAGTGATTAGTCGGTGGTTTTAAGAGGTGGGGAAGGACAGATTCTGTTATGTAGTCAGTGATTTGTAACAGTCCTTTGCACAAAAGGGTAAACTAAATCAATTGAACTACATTTTTTGATCCAAACGCTTTTAATTATGAAACTACCTCGACTGAGGTCACTTATAGTGTGCGACATTTTGAAAAATGAGTTTTTCATCAATGGTTTATTTCCAAATTATCGCTGCATTTTCAAAAGTAAAGTTTTACATCAATGGTTTTATTTCCAAATTAGCTGCTTTAAATACAATGTATTTATCTCATGCAAGAATGTCTAACATTAGATTTTGGCAATGAGCTCCAATTTGGCTTAATTGTATTTCAAATATTGCACTGATTTCAGTATGATTAATTGAAGAAACTGTAGGCTAAGGAAAGTGTCGTACACCTGGATAATCTCCAACTTATTTCAAATTTTGTTCGATTACAGCCCAAGTGCATAGCGTGTAGAACTTGGAGATTGCAAAAATGCATTCTCTATATCCAAGTTAATAGTCAGTCGAATGGTATATCGATTTGCAAACATTTTTATTCAGAGGTAAGATAATTATTTACTTACACGACTCCTGTATACACTGTGCATTCAAAGGTTACTTCTCTATACTGTGCTGGAGGTTAAATGGCCACTTGTAATTTTAAGGCCCCTTCAGTTCAGAATCACCCTGTGTGGTGTATGTTTAGTTTAACATGTACATATAATATATACAACAATCTGCGGTACGTGGAGCAATGTTGGTGTCATTGATGAATTGTGTTGGAATACTTTTCAGGTTCTCAACTCCAGAATTCAGCAGCTCAATCCAGTCCCATTTTTTGCATCACATTTACATATTGGCTATATTCTTGTAATCGCATTGATCCAGGTTGGCATGTTTTGAAAACATGCACTGGATTTGGCTGCCCGTGACCTGGAGTTGACGGCTTAGTCTGGGGAGAAGGTGGGCTACAATTTCTTGTGATCATCCCGGCAGCTGCCAGGAGTTTATCAGGTGTTCAGCTCCAAGGCGTTCCCACATGTGAATTCTATACCTTTGTGCTTAACCCTCCTAAACCATTAGATGGATAGATTAGTCATATGAAAGATCTCAGATTTTGTTTTGGCTTACACCATATGATTTTTGGCCTGTTGTCGGACATTGCTCTCAACGTGCGAGGAGCTTCATTAGAACCTGAAGCTCCCAGCATTTGAAAAAGCTCTCGGCACGTGGCATGAAACGTCAGACATCACGCCAAACAACACAACGGTAGAGCCCGAAAACACATCGGAGAGCACGTACAGCACAATCACACAAAACCTGCATCATTGTCATACGTATGTATTACACGTGTGTTTAACATTTATTTGCTTGTGGCTGTAATAGAGTTCAGACCTACCAGCAGGATCCCAAGATGTGTTGAGCTGAAAATCTTCTGTTGCTTCTCGACGGAGGAGTAGAGATCGAGAGAGGAGACCTTTTGTTGTACTTGAGCGTTTCCCCCCCCTGTAACGTGGGGGTTTATGGTGGAGCTCACGAGCCTGTGTTGGCCTGCAGTAGTATTTCGAACGGAAACCTTGATCTCGTTTGATCGGCGATCAAACTACGTGTCTCGTGAACTTTTCGCTGTGGACAATCGGACGTCTTTGCTTGCTCGTTTTTATCTGTGGGGTCACCCCACTGCCCTGTACGTGACTATGTTAGTTTTGTTCAGTGGCGTAACCGAAAGTCGTAATTTATATTTTAAAAAATGTATTGGTAATACTTAGGTGAGTTTAAAAAGCGTCAAAAGAGATGTTCTACTTTTTTCTTTTTTGTCCAAATACATAGGTATATCAGTTTTGTTTAATAAATACATTCTACTCATGTGGTCTTTGGTCATATCTGGGAAATTTGTTGACATTTCTTATAAAAATATTTCAAATGTACAATGTGTATATTATAAACAGACTTTATTAAAGGAAACTTAAAACGTTTAACCCAAAGAATGATCTAATATCTTAATTTTTTTTCCTGGCCAAATATATTGTGTTTTTTATTTTAAATACTATACACATTGCACATATGCTAAAGGTACTAAAGTATCTGTATATTAAATTAAAATAATTGTTTCAAGATTCTCCAAAATAAAGTGACATGTTAACTTGTCATTGCAAAGTTATCTTCATTTTGTGGAACAACGCATGTTTCTCATCGCCTGTGATGTCTAGCCCCTACACTCAGAGGCCACCATCCATTTATGAATTCGTATGGCATGTAACCCAATTTACATTTGATGTTTTACTGTTACGAGTGCTCGGGCACTGTGGCTAGTCACGTAATGGGTGTTTCCTCCATTACTATTTCACGTAAATAGTTGTTCCTGTACAGCATTATTTAACCCTAGTAGTAAAATGCTATACAGATCTTATAATTATCCACGGCCTCTGGGGAAGTGGGTGGTGCTGTTCGTGTCAATATCCTATTTGCCAACATCTCCCACGGAACTCAAAGGTCCCAGTCCAGCTGAATACAGAGACCTCGTCTCCCAGGTTTTGTCTATCCAGGGCCATGTGATTTTTGCTGGAGAGATTGCACAGAGTCACTGCCACCACTATCGGCACGACCACCACTGTCACCATCAGCAGCAGCACCACCACCAGAGCCAAGAGACCATCATGAACCCAATGAATAAGCACACTGGATGGGAGACCCTTATGGCACAATGAACCCAGCATGAGCATTGTACTGGGAGGAACCTCCTGGTTACACCAGCCCACAGGGGATTATTGTGTCCGTCAGACCGTCATGCATCCAAAAATGGGAGGGGTGGGGCTGGGTAGAGAGGGGAGGGTGGGGAGGGGCTGGGTGGGGAGGGGCTGGGTGGGGAGGGTGGGGAGGGGCTGGGTGGGGAGGGTGGAGAGGGGCTGGGTGGGGAGGGGAGGGTGGGAAGGGGCTGGGTGGGGCTGGGTGGGGAGGGTGGGGCTGGGTGGGGAGGGGCTGATCACCCCGTGGTGCCCTTATAAAACTCAAGGTTTAACCTACTCACGCCGGCTTGTGCCCACCCTCACAGTCGGCCATATTTGCGGAATATACCACGCCGCCGTTGACCCTGGCCATTGACCGAGCAACCCAACGTTCCTACCAGCTCCCTCCGCAGGAATGTGTTTAAAAGGGGAGCCATGGGCTGGAAGGGAACGTGTTGAGGAGGTAAACTAGAGCTCAAGAATCGGAAGAAACACTTTGAAGGAAATTATATTTATAATACAATCACAAAAAGGAAGGTATAATGTCATTTGACATTTGTGTTTTCTGGCATCTTGATGCCCATGTGGATCATTATCCCATAAGTTGGCAATTATTTCGTTCCCTATGCTTCATGGACATGTAGAAGGCTAATAGTCTGTAATTTTTCAATCAATTTTGTGTCCTTGATGGAATTGAATAGACTAGAGGTTAAAACATTGACTTCAAGCTTTCGTGACTGCAGGAATTCATGTATTTGGGTCTTTCGGTAAAGTCACGTAGATAGGTTCAAATTAATGAAAATAAAATAAAATTAAACTACGACATTTCGATCGCAACACAAGCGGTTCATCAGGCGACAGCTGCTTGATGTCGAGGTTTTTTCTTCCTTCTGGTGCAGATTGATCTTTTTTCATATTGTAAAGAGAAATGGTTAATGTTGTCTATCATGCGTTATTGTTCCATCTTTCTCTCGAAGGACGAGCGCTTGTGATTTACCACTCATCGACAAACTTTTCTCGCGCTTGATGCTCCTATTGTTTATTACGACGTGACATCCTGTTGTGGTCTCTGGTTTCTATCCCCAGAACCGGCCCTAGACCTTTGGGGGGCCCTAAGCAAAATTTGGTTGGAGGCCCCTTTGATGTATGATTTTTTTCACCCACTCGCTAGCAGTGACTCTAGGGGGCCCTCTGCTGGCCACGGGGCCCTTTGCAATTGCAAGGGTCGCTTAGTGGCTGGACCGGCTCTGTCTATCCCCATTCTCCTCCTGCCCTCTTGGTCCTCTTCCAGCACACCGGCCTGTCCCGGGCCACCTCCGCATCCAATCCATAGTCTTTCAATCCCTGGTTCGCCACATCAAAACCGCCTCTCTAGCTCATCTTCTTGGCTGCTGTCCTGGTGCTTCCGCGTTCATCACTTCTCCTCTGTTCCTATGACGTGTCCTAGCCATGTCCTAAGAGATTCCACTGCATGTGTACATTTGTCTGAATCGATCGGAATCTTGATTTATCCTGGAGAAGTCCGATGAGCTATGAAGCTCTTTTGCACAGATGCCCAGTAAACTGTGAGCGAGTATCAGATGAATGGTGGGGAGGTTTTGTTGTTGTTGTTGATTATAAGATGTGAGTGAAGCGCACAAAGTTGGACAGCTCATTCTCCGCTTGCACCACACCACAGGGTGTCATTATTAGACGTGTGTGTGCGTCATAGATGCTGCCGTGGTGTGAAATGGTTAGCACACTGGCCTAGCAATCCAGAAGTTGCCGCTTAAATTATTCCGGCAAGGCGATTTTAAACAACTGTGGTGCAAGCTCAATCAGATAGTTATATTTTATACACATTCAGAGCGCTTACAAGTATCAGAACTGCTCCACTCCGTGTACAATAAAGTACATATTTTGTTGCACATTCAGATACCTTACAAACCCTACAAAACAAATAAAGAAATGACCCAATTTGCACGTGCAATGTTGACGTGTGATAGGGGGAAGTGCGTGTGATAATGATGTGAGCACGTGTTGTGCGGTGCGTGTGCCCGTGTCAGAGGAGGGCAAATGCGCATTAGGCACGTGCGAGTTTGGGGCATCCTCAAGGATCCATTCCGCCCCAGGGTCTCCACTTTCATTCATCTGATACTCGCTCACACGCCGGCAAAATTCTCTCGGTTGATGCCTGCTGAGAGATTCCGCACGGCGTTTCCCCTCCCCCCGTCTCCTGAAGGCAGGCCAGCACGACTGCCAACAGCAACGTACAAAGACAAAGATCCCCCGTATAGCCTTAACAGACTGTAGGGGCAAGTGCTGTTAGCGAGCACCTATGAAGGCCGGAACGGTACACGAGGGGGTGGGGTGAGCCAGCACCACGCCCGACCGCCTTTGTCTCCCGAGTGACGATGCTTACGCACCGCACCAGGTACTCATTTGAGGCTGAGTCGACCTAGGGGAGGCCCGGGACCGGTTCAGATAATCGTCACTGTTGGTGCTGTACCTCCTTGTCGCCGGGTTCATAGCGCAGCGCGCTAACCGCTGCACCACCGCTCCACAGCGATAGTGTAGCGGTTAGCTCCAAGACCATCACAGCTCGAAAGATTGAAGTTGGGCCAGTCCACACACGCGCACACACACACGTGTCGGTTAAGGATGAAGCTTTACATTTATAGGGGCCGTCCATAAATGACGTCACGCGATTTTTAACGATTTTTTTACCCCCCCCCCCCCCCTTCGTCACACGGCGTTACAAAAAGTCAGACCCCCCCCCCCTCAAATATGACGTCACAAAGCTCTGCCCCCACCCCCCCCAAAAATATATTAAACATGCTTCAAATCGCTTTAAACTATTGTCAATGTAGTGCGTATTTAATGTGGCGCTGCACTCTGATGTTGTAGGAGAAAACATGTATTAAAAAGTAAATTTAATTAAGTAGAACGTGTTGTCTATATTTATTTAAAGTTGCGCATTTTGATGTGACGTCACATTTCTCAACCCCCCCCCCCCCTCATCGTCACACATCGTCACAATTGTCTGATCCCCCCCCCAGGTGCGTGACGTCATTTATGGACGGCCCCTATGGTCCATACTCTTTGGTTCTTTCGGTAAAGTCATGTAGGTGAAAAATAAAATAAAAATAAGAATACAAATAAAAAATAGAAATAACTAAATAAAATCACGACGTTTCGGAAGCAACACAAGCTTCCGTCATCAGGTGGGACAACCAAAACTTAAAATCTAGAATGAAGCACCTCTACGGGGAGGGATTCCACTTATCTGTTAGAGCTTTTAATAGACAACAGGACAATACATCACAGCTAATCGAGTCGCTCTGTGGTTGTCCCACCTGATGACGGAAGCTTGTGTTGCTTCCGAAACGTCGTGATTTAATTTAGTTATTTCTATTTTTTTTCACCTACGTGACTTCACCGAAAGAACCAAAGAGTATGGATCCTTGCAGTCACGAAAACTTCAAATCTAGAATGGCCCCTAGGGTTCTTTATTGGCTTAGCGTCTCAAATCGGCGAGCATCGCATCTCATCTGAACCGTAGCAGTGCAAGGTGGAAGTCCAGCCTTGGGGACACATTTGGCATCGGTTGATAATCGGTGCGAGGTGTATCCTAGCACCTGGGTGTAAGTCTGCCTCAAGGGGTCGATTTCGCTTTTTCCTTATGAAGTAATTTTCACGGAATGTAACAAATGTGGCACGTTGTATCACACCAATATCTGTTGATACCAGAGCCATACTGAAATGTAATGAAGGTTTTCCTCGGTTTGCGCGAGTGTGGTTTGTGTAATTTCGCGTATATGATGTGGCTAACCCATTTCTACCAAGAATTCGCTATGTTACGTGGTTTGAACTCACTCATATGTGGCTGTGTGTGTGTGCTGTATAGGAGGACGTGGAGCTGAGTGGACTTGCCGATGACTGGTACCAGCGGTGTCAAGATCGGCCTGTGGAGGAAGCTCGTGAAGGACGCTGCTACTGGGCAGTTGGAGGCAGTCGCCCTCCAGCAACAACGGAGGGCGGAGGAGTGACGCTCACAACAACGAGCGGAGCGCCGGGTGGCTAAAGCACAGCGAGTTGGCACAGTAGGGGGCACAGGTGGTGCATCAGCCAGTCATCTCGGTCGTCTCAGTCAGTCGACCCGTGGCACCTGCTGGGTCTGCCCTGTGACCTCCTGCCAGCGGGCGTTCGACACTTCACGTGGCCTCAAGGTGCACATGGCCTGGCACAAGCGTCGTGGTGACGTCACCGCCACTTAGTGGCGAATGGTGATTGTTGCTGTATGCTGCTACTATGTCCTCGTGCGGTTTCGCACGCGACAACTCTTTACTAATTGGCTGTGTCGGGTGGTGGCGGGTTTAACGACACATTTATATTTACGCGATCTAAGCCAAAACCCTCTATTTTGAATATTGGTCGCGAACGCTTATGTGCTGAACAGTGTCCAGAATACATCATTTAGTTTTTTTGGGGTTATATCGCGTAAATATAAATGTGTCGTTAGACCCGACACAGCCAATTAGTAAGGTTTTTCACGTCAACAGAGCGTGACCAATTCGTTACTCGGACAGCAACAATCGGTGTGTTGGAGAGCAAATCCACAACATTTACAATCTGAGTACGACGTTTCGCCAGTAATTGCAACTAGCATCATCAGGCGGACAGTGTCCATAATAGTTCGTCCCTTGTTTGAAGATGCGTTGTGTGTAGGTATATATCGTGAGCGTTAAAGAACACCTTCAGAGCCGATGTTTGCTTCGTTGTGCAAACCAAGTGGGGAGTCTCTTTGCATCTGAGAACCCGGTATACGACGCCCTCTGGTGACACAGGTGAATACTGCCCCCTCCGATTGAAGCAACCTGCTGCAGCTGCTGCTGATAAGGGCCAATCGACTGTTGTGATGCCCCTTGAGGATTACGATAATACAATCAAAGATTCACTGGATGAAGGTACCTACCGTAAAATTAAACGAGACCCAAGCAACACCTTGGAACGTAAGACAGCGGCAATCATTGCCAAGTCATCAAATCCCAAGGAAGAGCAATACCTGATCAAACCAAGGGCCTCAAAACCACCACGACTTTATGGGCTACCAGATATTCACAAACCTGATGTCCCATTAAGACCCATAGTTAGTACAATAGGCTCTGCCACGTACAAATTAGCACAATAAGTAACGAAACAAATACAGTCCTACATTGGTAAGACATCTTCGTGCATTAAAAACTCAGAACATCTCCGTAAATATACTTAAATATATTAAACTTAACCTTAATTATATTTTCGTAAGTGTTTATGTGATTTCTCTGTTCACGAGGGTTCTGGTCAACGAGTCAATTAAATAGCTCGATACTCTGGTAACGAACACAGGTTTAGCCAAAGATATCCCACGACGAGCTGAACACAGTCTGAAGAACACCTATTTCTTGTGGAAAGGTGATTTCTATAAACAAAAGGAAGGGGCAGCAATGGGCTCTCCTTTGTCTCATGTGATTGCGAATTTGTAAGTGGAAGATTTTGAAGCCAAAGCAATAGCTTCATCCACACTAAACCCCTCTGCTTGGTGTTGATATGTGGATGACACACTGGTGGTCTGGCCACACGGCAACGATACACTTAACGAATTTCTAAATCATCTCAACTCGCAGAACCCGTCCATCCAGTTCACCAAGTGGAAGTTTACATAACTCTCCCATTTCTGGATATTCTACTCGAGCGCGGCCGAAATTGTAAAATACCACACCGAAAGAAAACGCACACTGACTCCTATCTGAATACAGACACACCATCACCCCGCACAGAAAACCCTTCTCATCAAGACGTCATACATTGGGATAAGAATGCATCAGATGGTGATAGTCTGAGAAGTGACATTAAACATTTTTAAGCAGCGCTGCAATTGAACTGTTACAATGATGCACAAATCAACAGGGCACTGAATGCCAAATCCAAATCAAATAACATGAGAGTTGAAACTGACCAAGTAATTACAACTATTAAAATACCGTACATTGCAGGAGTAATTGATAAACTAGCCAGATTTTTTGAAAAACAACTCCATAACATCCGAGTCAGATTTGGCACGGTACATAAAATACAGAAACTAATATCTGATACGAAAGATGGATTACCGAAGCTATCAACGGAATGTGTGTATTTGGCTGCGGGACCGCTGCGTCCACTAGAGGGAGCCTCTGTGTGTTATGGGAAGCTGCCATGCGTTGGGTTTGTGCATTTAAAAAAATGTACAATAGTGCACGTACATTTCAAATTTCAGTATATACATTACTTTACGGGTCAATAACATGAGCTGTTCTGTAGAGTTTCGTATTATAAATATTACAATAATCTAAGTGCGTTGTTATAAATTAATAATTAATAGTTTTGATTCGTAAAGCGCATTTCATCTTGTCGACCCCAATGTGCCGAATCATCAACTATGATTTATCCACTGCTGGCTGAAGGAATGCCTGGCAGTTTAGAGATTAATATTGTGCAGGCGTTGCCATTTGAAAGAACTGTCTTGTTAAAACATTTCATTCGTTCTGTAAATGTCTCTAAATGTCTTGAGTTTGTTTTATTTGAAAATAAGCAACGATATTGGTAACAAATGACAGCGTGAGTGGCAACAATCGCAGGAGTATATTTTAGCCGGTCGCGTTTACAAATATACGCTTTCCCTGCATTTTATATATACATTTTGAAGCTTACAGAATTAGTTAGGTGTGATGGATCACAAGGAGGTAAGACTGACTGTCTTTGAAACAAAACGTCAGCCAGGCCCTTTAATCCACCACACACTTAAAAGCTGTGTCCTCGAATGATCTCATTTTTTAGCAAAACCAGAAGTAGTATGTCTGTGTGGGAGGCTATGAATAATGCACAGACGTGGATTAGGCAGTGGAAAATTGATGCATGAATTTAGAATTCATTACGCAGCGTAATTTACATCTGCACGTGGTTAGAAGTTTTTAGATTGCGAAATTTAAATAATGCACACGGACACTGTTATGCATGACACTTGTCATTTTAGCTTCAATAAATAGGACAGTTAAAGTGTCTCCATATTCAAATGATCATGGGTTTTGGTGAAGCTGTGTCAATTGCTTAAATTATATTATAAATTCCTGTAACAGAGTCCAATCTATCCAAAGAAAACCCGCTGCTGACTTCACACAAAGTGGTAACCGTTGTAAGAGCTTGGAAACCATGGCCATCAATAAATAATTTCTGACCAAGTACTATTTTTGCATAAATAAAACGATCTTTTTAAATCGAGGTTGGTGCAATTTATTTTTCAACCTATAATGCTTGTCAGTTTATGTGCTAGATGTGCTAGATGTTATAGCTCGAGGCTTTATTATGCGTTTTTCCTTTTAGCCAAATAAAACCTTTGGATATCTTTAATATCAATATTTTTTTTGTTAATATGGGGTTAACAATCCCGTTTAACTATAGCTTTTCATTCATCCTCATATGATGATACACGAGTATCATCATATGAAGGGTTTAACAGAGAGGTTTTTTTTAGTGCCTCTCACCACGATGAGATTTAGATTCCTGCCACCACGCCCGCACAAAATGTTTACGCAGTGGTAATGTGAACATTTATCAATGTTTACGCGTGAGACTTTTATTGAGATGTGTACTGCCCTGTACAGGAAATATACTAAACGCTCGAAGACAAATTACTCGATCAGTGTCACTGGACATAAATCGGGGATATAGGCAGAGGCGAAAAATGTGCACCAAAAAAAATCTGAACTCTACATTTTTAATTATCTTTACTGTATTTTGAACCGCAAATGGTGAAGTCAATGCAATATTTCTTCCATGTATTATTGTCATCTTTGTCAATTTTACACACTTCGCTAATTACGGCACAGTATTAATTTGTATTTGATCTCGAAGTTCTAAGTTTGAATATCAATTGGCACTTACGTGCTTGTTTTTTTATTGGCAACATGTATTTAGATAGATCATTTTGCTGCTATACATTTCCACGCGATGAGACACTTTGTTGAGCTATCATCTCTGAGCAGGTCGCTTCTGAAAAAAATAAGGTAATAGCTCAGTGGTCTTTACCTGGTAAGATTAACAAAAATATGTTCGTTTTACACCATTGGAACCTCCTTTGCCAGTTGCAAAATATGATAAGAAAAAAGTTTTACCCTTTTATCTGGCAACAAAACTAACACCTTTTTTTTTTACAAGAAGTCATGTTTGCATTGACCACAATACCTGCGGTCGGAATGCAAACAAAAAACACAAGTCTGATAATGTACGCACTGTCCTTGAAATTGATTGGTCCACACCCGAGACAGCTTTTCTTAGAGCCTCGTCTCACATGGTGTGACTCCTTGTAAAAAAAAGGTGTCAGTTTTGTTGCCAGATAAAAGGGTAAAAAAACACAATTATAATTTTTTGGTTCTTTCGGTAGAGTCACGTATAAAGATAAAATAATACATTAAATACTAGCATACGACGTTTCGATTGCAACACAAGCAATCACCATCAGGTATAAATGAAATAGAAACACAAATCTAGTATACTTAGAAATGTAATGTTATACAACAGAGAGTCGGATAACATAACAGTCAACAACCTACCTGGTTGATTACGTTCTTCCTGAGAATGCTAAATTTGAGAGAGAGATAAAACACAGAACCAGAAACATATAGACAGACATATAAGCAGATAGATATCACAGAGATACATAGAGAGAGAACAAACATAGGCACACAGATAATGTTCGTTTTATTGGTATACATTGTTTAAGTGATTTGTTTTACTCCTATCGTGTATCGTTTGCTGTCGTGCCGTTCTGACCCATCCCTCACCGGCACTTCTGTGTAAAAGAGCTTCACAGCTCATCGGATTCCTCCAATTTTTTCATTCGCCTAATGGCAATACATCTGCCCTGCCTGTAGGGGGCGGTGGTGGTGGTGGAGGGAAAACCCTCTGGTCTGGCAGCGGACGCGTGGCGGTGGGGGGAGGAGGAGGAGGCGGGGGGGGGTAATTATTATTTATTTATTCCCCCCCACCCCCTCCCCCCACGAGGCGACGGTTTACTGACGTCACTCGGCGCGCTCGTGGCGCATGCGCAGTGCGGCCGCCCGCGGTTATTCAAACCGGAGCCGCCGCCTCAGACGTCTCAGCCGCCCTCCTGAACGACGACGACGACGACTTCGAGACGGAGGATTTCCACTAAAACAACCACCACCATCATCATCACCACCCCTCTCCGATAGAGAATCCGACGGCATCTGCACGCGGACGCCGACTGTTACGCCGATGGACACCTTTACGCAGGTCGACGGAGTTGTTTAGCGCTCGCTCGCTTGCTCAGACGCTTGGGCCCTTTGGGGTTTTTCGGAGTGAACGCGGCGTGCTGTGTGTATCAGTGTGTGTGTGTGTGTGTACGTGTTGTGTGTGTGCATGTTGTGTGTGTACGTGTTGTGTGTGTGTGTACGTGTTGTGTGTGCGCGTGGTGTGTACGTGTTGTGTGTGTTGTGTACGTGTGTGTGTGCGTGTTGTGTGTGTGTACGTGTCGTGTGTGTTGTGTACGTGTCGTGTGTACGTGTTGTGTGTGTACGTGTTGTGTGTGTACGTGTTGTGTGTACGTGTTGTGTGTGTGTGTACGTGTTGTGTGTGTACGTGTTGTGTGGGGAGCGGTGGTGTAGTGGTTAGCGCGCTGCGCTATGATCCTGGCGACCTGCTCACGGCCAACACCAGTGACGATTATCTCAACCGGTCATGGGCCTCCCCTAGGTCGTCTCAGCCTGAAATGAGTACCTGTTGCGGTGTGTAAACATCGCCACTGAGGAGGCAAAGGCGGTCGGGCGTGGTGCTGGCCACCCACCCCCTCGTGTGTCGTTCCGGCCTTCATAGGTGCTCGCTAACAGCACTTGCCCCTACAGTCTGTTAAGGCTACACGGGGGATATTTGTTGTGCGTGTGTACGTGTTGTGTGTACGTGTTGTGTGTGCGTGTTGTGTGGCCTCAAGGTGCACATGGCCTGGCACAAGCGTCGTGGTGACGTCACCGCCACTTAGTGGCGAATGGCGGTTGTTGTTGTTGTTGTTAAACGAGTACCCGGTGTGATCGTGTAAACATCGCCACTGGGGAGACAAAGGCGGCCGGGTGTGGTGCTGGCCACCCACCCCCTCGTGTGCCGCTCCGGCCTTCACAGCTGCTACTCGCTAACAGCACTTGGCCCCTACAGTCTAAGGCCACACGGGGGATCTGTGACAATGTTCCGTGTTTGTTTGTTAACTTGCCGATTTGAGCATTAAATACGCGACGATTGAGCAACATTAACAAACATTCTTTGGTTTTTTCGGTAAAGTCACGTATAAAGATAAAATAATAAATTAAATAATTATTAATAAATTAAATTAAATAATTTATTCTTTTATCTTTATACGTGACTTTACCGAAAAAACCAAAGAATAATTCCTGCAGTCACGAAAGCTCCAAAATTAAGATTAACAAACATGTTCATGTTGTCTGTCGGCGTCGAGCGGCGAGATGCTCTTTGACGAGTTTGACGCCTTTACTGGCCTGGGGCTTTAAAGCTTCTGGTATATTGTTCACATAAAGTCACGACGTATAATTAAATTTTGATTTAAAGCTTTCGTGACTGCAGGGATTCATATTCTTTGTTCTTTCGGTAAAGTCACGTAGAATGGAAGTAATAAAATAATATAAATATAAAACAATAAAAACAATTTTTATTTCCCTTCTACGTGACTTTACCGAAAGAACCGAGAATATGTTGTATAATTATGTATCAATCTGCTATCGCAAGGGTTAGGTGTTGGAATGGGACAATTACTTATTGTTACATATCTCCCCGCATTGTTTTTACAGGCTTAACCCAGAACTTTTAAAATTGCGAGTTGATGATTAGTTGATGGTAAATGTTGTCGAGATGGTTTAGCGTCTGTGAATCCAGTCATTTGGTGAGTTCTAATCAATGCAAGTCGATCAATCCACCATCATCATCACCAACAACATCGTTCATTACAATAAGAATGGGGCCAGCACCATCAGCTGGTGTACATGCTAGGGACTGGGTTGTTACAGGACCGATAGTGCTCAAGCGACATGCTTGGGGTGAGATCATTCATCCTAGAAGTGGCTTGATAATGCCTGATTGTTACAATGTAACTTCTTAGACTAAAGTTACCCATTGGTTGCCTTCGGTTGGAGAGACTGGGCTCTGACATCGGGACGTGATATTTCTCACCGGTTAAGACTGCACACAAGATACGGGCAACCGCCCCTCTCTCGCCACAATGGGATCTTTTAAAATGTGACGTGTAGTACAGAATTTGTACTAAGTTACCATTGTACTATTTTATCAAGTGGAATTAAGACGTTTCTCAGTTAATGTTCTTATTGCTCAATGGTGTCTATTATGCATTTATGTAGAACTTTTAAGTACCTTCCTTTTAAATGGCTCTGTGAAACTTCGCCAAAACTAATATGTAACTTAGAGTTTGCTCCCTACACAAGCCAGCAGTGGCATTGTACATACAATATATTGTCGTATGATTTCGGTTGGAGTAATTAAGGAAGTATTTTCATAGGAGTGGTCGATCTGCATTAAACTTGGCACAAGAACCCTGATGGAAATGAAAAAGGCAGTGTGCTAAGGGCTGAAGTGACTGAAAGGCTTTGCTTGACGAGTGCTTCCTGTTTATACAACTGCTCGAGTTAAAACGTCAGTCTGAGATTTTTTTTAAACACAACTGCTACTTTCTATGGTTACCTTTTATATTCGCACCGCAGACAATTGTACATGGACTAAATTCTGAACATTTGAATACAAAACGGATTACTGAGAAAATTAGAGACAAAAAGGTGTAACTGTAAGAAGTACGTACAACTTTGAAAAGGGTGACTTTTCCAATAAGGTATGGCTTTGATTTGACACGCTATGAGGTCACTCAATACAAGTTTTTGAATTGGTCGGCTCTGAACGGATGGTTCCCATATTAGGAGATGCGCCACACTTTGCCGTTGAACGGTTAAGCTGGTTTGGGTGTGACTCCTGAAAAAGCTAAACATGCCACTTCTTTTTTACGCGGCATTATGAATTTCCTGGCATACGTTCAAACTCTGGAACTCTTGAGACATGTTGCTTCTGAGCCATATAAGACGTTGCCGTTAAAGTGGCCAGTTGCATTCCTCACGTTCAAACTTTCGAAATGCCATTGGGTCACACACAGCCTCGTTGTAATGGCTCAAATGTCAGTTTAGATCTTTTTTCCTATGAACTTTTTGTGAAGTTAAATTGTTTCTTTTAAATGTAATATATCTGTAAATACAATGCCTTTGTTGCAGCCTATTTGTTGTATCAGCTTCCATTTTACAAAACGGCATATTTTATTTTTACATTTAACTTCAGCATTGCCATGTACAAAGAAAATGGTGCAATCCTGCAAAAGGGCAGTGGAGCATACAAGCAAACTACAAGAACATTTCAGTAGGCCTACATATATGGTTTGGTTTAATAATTTCTTGCTTAAAGGCCACGTTTGGTCTGTAAACAGTGAATCGGTGACTTGAACTTTCAGCTTCCCACTCCTCCACAACTGATAGCTGAACATTTCAAGGTGCAATCTTTGTGAAATGAAGGAGCCAAATACATTTTAGCTTTAATTTAACCAGGTGAGGGGAAATCCAGAAAAAACAATCTTTTGCACGGGAAACGTAATAATGTGAGTGAAACAGAACATAAATGTAACATTCCAAGTATCCTATAGCAAACTACATGCATATGAAATAATTAATTGTGTTCTTAAACGTAAAACAAACATGAAAAAACAACTGCAGGTAGAGTGAAATTGAAATCTAATGTAACATTTCAAGAGAACAACAACAGCTGCAAATGCCACGGAATATCCAAAAGTGATGGTGTGTGCATCTGTAATCCAGTGCTTTGTTAGCAACTGTTGGTGGATCATACAAATGTACAGCCATTGGGCAATCAACTCGTGAATGAGGGTTTTGCCATGCCGTGTGGGTCAGGTTTTCGAATTATCTTTCAAGATCTGACTCGGCACAATCCATGTAATTTGGTTATGTGCCCCAATTAAATACCTCTCTGAATGAGTTTTGAGAGATAGGCATTGCTGGATGCATTGTTATAGATGCGATTTGAAGGCAACCACACAGGTTGTAACGGCCATGCGTGTGACGATACTTTCTCTTCAATCGCTCTTCACTCCACCTCGGTCCTACAGAAGCTGCTGGAGCGAACGCGGGCACGCCGTGAGCTGCTGCAGCAGAAGATGGCAGAGCAGGGCCTTGGTGAAGCTGCTTGCACCTCGCCCAGCAAGCGTGCCCGTGATCCGCTCACCGATACCGCCAACAGCAGTGGCCGCTCTCCTGGTGAGCAGTGTTTGTTTCGACTTGGGTGACTGCTTGCTCACCTCCCATTAGGCCTTGACCTTTTTTTCAGTTTATCGGTGTGTGTGTGTATTTTGTTTTGTGTATCCTAAAAGTTTGCTCATTTCCTGCAGTGGGAAAATGTCAGTGTCTTGCGAATCTGACATTTTCTTTGCTGTATTATCAGCTCCATGCCCAATTGATATTCACTCCCCTGTACATATTAGATATCTCCAATTACTGCTCAGGCAACAAATGCAATTTCTCACCCCCCCCAATGGATAGGTTGTGCCATGTCGCCTAAACACTTTGAGGAGCACTTAATATGATTTTGTAAATGAAATTTAATATTTAAAGAAACGCTTTGATCTAGCTTAAGGCTATTTTTAAGCCTTCAACTACAAAGAAATCATAATACCTGGTTAGAATTTAAGCGTGAACAATGACTGAGTTGTTATTAAAACATTGGCATCACCACTTTTTACTTTAAATCTGAAACGAATGTATCTAGGGCTTGCTGTTAAACAAGCATATGCACATGTGTAGCGTCAATGAAGATGTCTCTAAGTCTTGTTATTCAGTCAAAACTATGGTTTTGTTTTAGCAGGAGTTGCTGACCTGGGGGGCTCCCCCCCTAAGAAGCGCTACTCGGGAGGGGGTGACACTGAGAATGTCCTCCCTCGAGATCCTACACCCAGGTACACACAATGCATACACAGTATTGTGATTGGTAAATAAAACATTTAATTATTTTACCCAGTGGGATGGTACTGACATTCATTGTGTCTATTGTGAACAAAATTAGCTTAATAGGACTATTGGTGAAGTCAAGTATTATTTCCACAAAACTCATGCAATCTGACACCTCGATGAATAGTGGACATTCACCCACACTGCTTGTGTCTCTGCTTAAAACATTCTAGGGCCCAACCCATGCCTGAGAAAGCAGAGACGACGCATGATCCGGGAGTTCTCACACATCTGGCTTCTGGCTCGGTGAAGACGCGCATGCAGAAACTGGCCGAGCAAAGACGCTACTGGGATGGAGATGGTGAGAGACTTGCACAGTCTGGGGATAACATTTCTAAATGTGGTGCAATGCAGTGGTGGCTTTTACATAAGTAAATTAATCTTATGTATTGTAGCCTGTATATGAACATTGACCGCCATAATAAGCTTTATACTGGCATAAAGCTGGCTGGATATGTGTGTGATGTATTAACAAGTATGCCATTGCTTAATATATTCAAAAAACCTCACTATATTCTGCAAACCTTATTTTAGAAGGGTCGTGCATTGGTTATCTTTGGGAATTTTTGTGTGTGTTTTGGGTGTGGGAGGATACTTGAGGAAGCCCATGCATATGAAGAGATAATACACAAAGGTCCGCACAGATGGGTTGGCAATGTTGGTTGCCATACCTGTGGCCTAGCATTGTTAACAAGGTTTATAAGTTTGTTTGAGCCTCTGCTCCAATGAACTGGATTACAGGTGTGTGTGCAACCTGATGTCTTATTTTATCCATCACTATTCGCACAGCCCCAGATGAAAGTGCAAGCGTCTCTTCGCCTGTGTCCTTCAATCATTCGAGAGCCGCCTTGGTAGCACCGCCTAATGATCAGCCAGATGCTACTGGGCGACCCTCTCACAGTGCCGCGAGGTCCCGTCTGGCCAACCTAGCCGCCACCATCAACACCTGGGAGGACGACCTCGGCCATGGCGCCGCTGCCAGCAGCAATGGGGACGTCACTTCCACCGCAAACAAGCCAAAGTCGGCAACTGCCACTAAGGTCAAAGGGAACGTGACCGCAGCCAAACCCCCTGTGGCAGCCACTCGCACCACGGTGGGCAGAACCCCATGATAAGACTCCTGTCAAGGTGGGCATGACCAAGTCGGCAAGTGGGAACGTGGCACTAGCGACTGTGAGGGCTGCCACCCCGGAGAGACCATACAGTTCCCTCGACAGGTCCAAGCCAGCCGTGTCCACTGCTGCGGCAAGGCAGGAGTCGCAGCCCCAGGTGATGAACACTTTGAAGCCGTTGACATCTGCAATAACACTAATGAACTTAAATTTCAGGAAATGGGCCTTCTGAACAGATTTCAGAAATGGAGAATATTTTAAATAGTCGACACAATTTTACAAGTTTTCTGTAAAACTGAAAGAGCAGTGGCAACGTTTCAATGTGTATAAATGAAAGGAGATTTAACGGAAGTGCCGTAAACTAAGATTATTTTAACAGATATTGGGTACAATATTTTTAGTAAAACGGTAAGAAATTAATGCTTGATGTTAGTCTCAGAAATGTTCTCGAGAACAGTGCAACGCCTCATGTGGGGATTAAATTCGACAGCGTAGGAAAGTACATGCTGAGGTCTTTTAATTGTTTCGTGCTGCAGAAATCGCAGGCGACCACTCCCTCGCAGGCACGACCGATTGTGAACAAGACCATCAACCCGGGCACTCCAGCGCAGACCGTCTCTACGCCATCCACACCTGGTCTTTATTTCTTGTTTTGATATTTTCACCATCACTCTTAGACAATTTAAATGAGGTGTGATGGTAGTTGGGGTATGATTTTACTTGAATATTGTTTAAAGCACCACATTGCTTTGTATAACCAATGTACTGTGTATTTGATTAATATAACTAGTAATATCTGATGAACACCTTTTTAGAGTGAACGACAGAGTATGTGTCAATGTGTGTGACCAGTTTGAAACTCGGAGCAGTCACTGAATTCAACTAAGATATTTAGGATTTGGTGGAATGCAGTTAATTAAAATTGTGCGATTTCAGCGTGGGGAAATGAGGGGGCCACGCTGGCGAGATGTGTAACTACCTCATCTAAACCGGAGGTTGTGGTTTTGAACCTAACCCCGACACTTGTATATTTGGATTTGGCATGTTCTCCCCGTGACCGCGTGAATTTTTCTACGGGTCCTCCGGTTTTTCCCTCCACATTAATAAAAAAATCGTTTAGTTTCCATGGGATATAACACTAACATTAGCTATGAACTTTTTGTTTGGGTCACTCAACCGCGCAGCCAACGGCTCGGGCGTGAAGACTTTCCGCGAGCGCTTCGAGGAACGCTGCCAGCAGCAGAAAGCAGCCGGACTCACCCCGACGTCGTCGTTGACACCGTCTGCAGTCCAGTCCGTGACCCCCACCGTGACTGGCCATGCTGCTGGGGGCCGCACCATCACGGTGACACCGGGGGATGGCGCGCGTGCGCTGCACGACCGCTTTCGACACGGGCAGGGAGAGACAGCTGCAGCCTCGCACGCCGACAAACTTAAGCAGGTGTTCTTGGGCCGCGGTTCAATAGTACATTTCATTCAAAACAATTCTATCATGAATTATATAATACTGGTTTTTGAGGTTACCTTAATGGTATACTGCACCTATTTTTGGTTGTGTCCATGATGAGTCTTTGAAATGCATTTTCACTTTGACGCATGAAATGCATATTTTGTTTTTAACTGTTGAATGATATCCCTTGGTAATCATTTATTTATGGAGTTGTATTATTGATACTTAGTTTATGGCAGTTTTCGTATTTTTTATTGGTGCTGACATTGACACTAAATTTTTCTGAAGACTGATCTTTTTTTATGGGTTTATAATATCCACTTTATAGCATTGTTTTGCCATCACAGGCTGCTGAGAAGTGAAGCCTGTCAACACCTTGGCTTAAACATTCTGCTTTTGCATTTCCTCTGTTGTAGGAGCGAGAGCAAGAGCTAGCCATGATCAGGAATCGCTTCCAAAAAGGCAGCGTGTGGGCCAATGAGAAGAAGGTGCCCGTCAGTGATGCCACCTCGGACAAGGTAGTGCATGGCTGGGCATTCTTGGAGCTTCGTGGTTAAGTGTCGGTGCATTAGACTATTTTTAATGTGCCTTTGAGTTAGGTCATGCAAGGCTCCAGTGTTTGTTATCATTCTGTGGTGGCTCATGGTTGCGGTTTCTGAAGGCTACAAAACTCAATTTAAGTTTATTCAGACTTGTGCAAGTTAATTTGTGATTGAAATGTAAAACAACGTGTGATAATGTAACTCCTGGGAAAATTAGTGGACTACATGCTCCTGTCCTATGGCAAATATTAATTAAGCTTCTACCATCACATAGGTTTTAAATGTAATCCTTTTGTATGCATCAACTAAGTTTTTAACATTTAGGACGTTTGTTACCACCTTAAACTTAATCCATTATTTATCTGCCACTATTGTTTCAATTATGGTATTAATGTCAGCTGCATGGGATTGGCAGGGTTCTTCGGTTGTAGCCGGAGGCTCCGTGGCCAAGGCTCCAGTCACACCAGCACGTGAAGGCAACGGGCAAAAGTCTGTCGAGACTGTCCAGCGTTCCAATGCCTTGGCATCCCCAGCCACTGCAGTACAGAAAACACCCGCAGGTAAACTTGCATTTATCTATAATAATCAATTACATGACAGTAATTAATTGGACGTATTCTGCTACAGCAGTTTATTGTAGTTTTATTGCATTGTAATGAATTTCGATTTTTCGCCATGAGATGGTGTTGAAATGGATTGAGGTGCAAGCATATGCATGCCTTTTGGGTGACTGGAGTGATCATTTTTCTAGGGACAGAATCCACCAGTGACGATGCAGAGCCCGGACGCCGGGTGCGGTTTGCCTCCGAGACGGAGAAATTGGGACCTGAGTCGACTGGGGATTCTGATATCGACAGCAGAGGCTGCCAGTCCAGTAATGACGTCAGCGACAGCGAGGAGGAAGAGGAGAACAACTCTGGCGTGATCGACGAGTTATTTGACGATCTGCTGGTTGACGTGGTCGACGGGAGCGAAACTAAAGGGACAGTGGAAACGAGAGGAGAGGTGACGACGGCGCTCTCCAAGGAGGCGGCCAGTGGCGAGAAGAAGAACCAGGAGAGTGAGGACGAGCTGGAGGTGTCGTCTATGTCACTGCTGTCAGAGTCGATCAACACGGCAGTGCACAGTCCCGAGGTTCGCTGCTTTTGTTTGATTGTATCGACCTGATATCCCATGCTGCTCCTTTTGCCGTGTGAGTGTTTGTAAGTGCGTGAATTTGCGTTCTGTTGTCATTATGTAACTGGTTCCCACTGCCTTCCCTTTCCACATTATCCTTACAGGCGATAATTTAATTTTAGTAATTTAATAGATGGTTGAAAAGGTCTCCATTAGAAATAGTAATTGTTCGTAACACAACACAGGTATTGATTATATGCGACTACATATATAGAGAAGGATGAGTGGCCAGTAGGAGAGGGAACATTGGGGTGCCACTGTTGCGAGATGTTATCTCCCCCGCCTGGTATGCAGGAGGCCGTGGGTTCGGTCCCGACCCTGATGCCTGTATATTTGGAGTTTTTATGTTCTCCCCGTGGTCGTGTGGATCTTTATCTGGGTCTAAACATGTGTTTAGTTGATTTGGCTGCTACTATACATTCCCACTATATGATCAAGCCATTTTGTTGGGCTTTTATTTGTGGCCAGGTTGCTTCTGAAAAATAGGGAATATCGCTGTGGGCTCTTGATGGTGAAAGATTAGTTGGGGGTGTATGGTAAAAGAAGGAAGGCACAAGTTGGGTGGTTGACAAGGGGTGTAATCGTTGCCATCACTATTGTGAATATACAATACTTCATAAAGGATCAAATATTTAAACCTTTTAAAATGGGAAATATATAAAATATAACTGATGTGAATGCTGTATCTACATGAATTTTTCAGTTTATGCATATACGTTTGGAAATAGGATAAACAATTGTATATTTCACAATATTTAAAAAAATCCAAACGTCATTAATCTACTCTTTCTACAGTCCCAGTTAGAATGTTTTCCACGGCTGAATGTTCTTATTCATTTTCATACGTTCATTCGGCTGAGTGGTGCAGGGGATAGAGCCCACCACTTATAATCGGAACATTATGGTCTCAAATCTTGGATATTGGTCTTTTTCCTTCTAAGTTGATACATAAATAAGTGGAAAGTCATGATTGGATTTCTTTTAGATAGCCCGAACCCCATGGTGGAAATTGAAAATTTTCAGAACTGGCTCAGAGCTGCACACCGGAGATGAACATTGGCAATATGCACATTTTCCAGGAGAAAATTTGACCATTTCAGTTTAATGAGCAATAGTCATTCCTGTGGGTAAATCCGGGCAGTATGTCGATGGAATTGCCACTGCGTTATTGGGGGGGATGGTGACGTTGTTTCTATCTGGGCCCCCCACTCCAGCAAAAGATTCTGATGTCGTCTCCGTTGCCGCCGAGCTCGGCAAAGAGCCCCTGCAGCCCCGAGGTGCCGCCCGCAGCACGGAGAAACACGAGGGCTCGCCTGCGCCGCTCAGGCTCCCTGGATAGCCTCGTGCCCTCTGAGGAGCCCCGGCTGCTGTACAGGTGCGTGTGTGCCGTGTCTCCTGGGTGCTGCCGTTTGTCGATTGTTGAGGGGTATGAAGCGTCGTGTGTATGTTGATGAACTGCGAGCACGCGTTGTGTTTGTTGGATTGAATTGTGATTTAAAATGAACGGAGGAATTTATTGTGAATTGGGTATTCATAATGAAATTATGTAAATGAAAGTTTTTAGTTGATTTTTTTATGTACAGGTATTAGGCATCTTGCAACTATTCCTTCCCACAATTTGGTGAATTTTCAAGATTTGGGTCACTTTGATTCAAGAATTGATTCTTAATTTGGCATTGTGGTATCTTGTTGCAAGGTTTTAATGAACCTGATATTTTCATGGGAAAATCACATACCTTCTTTATAAGTAAGTAACCTATTCTTGCACATGCGATTTGATGTAGGCTTTGAGCTCAAGACTTTACTTTAATTCATTAATTGTTACATGCCGAACAGGTATTTGGCTTTTTTTTTCACACTGGCTAACAATGAAACGTGTTTATCAGGCGGTAAATAATTATATTGTTTGCATTGATGAAGTCATCCCGAACACAAACATCACTTACTAACTATTATAGCACATACATTTAGAAGTGTGTGTGTAATTGAGTACAGCTACATGTTTTTCTCTTCCTGTAATTTTTGTTACGTGTGCTGCAGCATTGACGCATACCGGAGCCAGCGTATGAGCTTGCACCGCCGCTCACCCGTCAAGCAGGCTTCACCGCGTCGGAACAACGTCAGGGCCGAGGAGCGTCCCAAGAACTCCCCGCGTGTTCTCTCCCTCCGGGAGCGCCTGCACGTACGTTGGCGCCTCCATAGCAGCAATGCGCAGTAACCGTGCTATAATTTCCTGTACTTACACATGCTTTGTGCGTGCCTGGTATGCGTACAGCTGTTGACCAATGAGGTGAACAGCCAGCAAAGCATCATGCAGCAGGCACGCACGGCGCTCGGCTGCTGCGTGGACGAGGACCACGGCAAGGGCTCTTTGGAGGAGGCAGAAGCTGAGAGGCTGTTACTCATTTCCAGTAAATACACCTTTCATTCGTTTGCTTGTCATTTATATTTGCACGCAGCATACAGGGCACTGGGGGGGGGGGGGGTGTGCTCTGTCATTGGAACTGTATTGGAACGAAAAAGACCAAGCTCTCCAAATATTTTCACTTGATGAAAACCGTGCAAAGCTTAGTTAATTTTGAACGTATAAACATAATTTAAATGGTGTGTGACCTACTTGGCTTCGTGTTTCATATTTTTTACATTTTTAGTGTAGCGGGGTACCCAAATGGTATGGAAGTGACCGTTTGGCCAAGACTTATTATAATGTGAGAAGGATGAGCCTGGTAATCACTGAAACCCAGGGTTCTAAACCATGTAACTGTCTGATTAAACAGTTTTTTCACGTAGAGTGTTAATGGTTTCACCATGGTCACCAATAACTGCACACACAACATAATATTACATTATTTTTGTCACTTAATATTGCGTACTCCAACTCTGAAAATTTAAAAAGGTGTGCTTATTGCCGTGCAAATAATTTTTTTCAGGGCATATACAGGTGTGCTAGTGTGTGATAAAAGAGTTATAAGACGAAACTTCAACAGTAGTTATGTGATGCCATCTTTCAGAGCTCTTCTCTGATGGATGTTTGTGCTGGCTGTAGGAGTTCCATCAAGATATTTATTTGTCTTATGACGCTGATAGCCCAATTAGAAAAATAATGGGGGGAGGGGGTGGTCATAAAATATACAGGGTGCTTAAAAATGTTTTTAACACTTATATGGGACTATCGTTCTTAATGGAAAAAGAATGAATAACACACCAACATGATAACAAATGTATGTTAATAGCTTCAAAAAGTCAGTCTCCACTTGCTTGCCATCATTGTTAACGCGTGGCTGGAATCTTCTCCAGGTGGTCTCCAGAGCCCGGAGGCACATTTCTCGTGGCATTGTTGCAAATTCTCAGAAGTGTTAACATTTTTTTTGAAGCACCCTGAGTTATCCTCGTGTAGGAGCAATGTATTTTAATTCAACAGACTCAGATTAGTGACGTTATCACAGGGACATCCGCCTGCATTGTTGCCAATGGAACATGCACATAAATGCCTTCCTAATCTGTACTGTCCTCTATCCTGCGGCCTATAGCCGAGAAGCACCAGGCTTTACTCGCGGAGCTGAATCGGCTGAAGGCCAATGCGAGCGCACGCTCAGGTGGCCGTGGTGGTGGTGGTGCCGGCACAACGCCGGGGGAACAGACTGCACCGTGTCGAGGATCAGTCTTCATCTCTGACATCCGACTGCCTCTGAAGCCCGAGTTTGTGTGCGTTCTCGCCTCCCGGCCAGGTGAGACCCTCATAAAGCCTCGGAGAAGTTAAGTCGTGCCTCCCTGCCACGTTCGCTGCTATGTTGCGGTGCACTTTTGGCAAGTGGCATTACAGTAAAATCTCAGCTATGCAGACTCATTTGGCGGAGTTCTGGTCTGGCTTGCTGAAAAGTCTGGCTCGTTGCGATTTCAATAAAAAGAAAATCGATGTAAAAAATAGTGCTCGCATGTATGTGTATCGCATATACACATGTGCTGTACAGTCACCGTGTACAGACCATAGTGAGCGGTAGTGTAGTGGTTAGTGTGCTGTGCTTTGAACCCGGCGACCCGGGTACGATTCCCACTCACTGCCAACACCAGTGACGATTATCTGAACTGGTCCTTAGCCTCAAATGAGTACCTGGTGCGATGTGTAAACATCGCCACTGGGGAGACGAAGGCGGTCGGGCGTGGTGCTGGCCACCTACCCCCTCGTGTACCGTTCCGGCCTTCACAGGTTCTCGCTAACAGCACTTGCCCCTGCAGTCTGTTAAGTCTGTAAGGGGGATCTTTGTACAGACCAAAACAAGAACTCGTGTTCTGTGTACAGTATTGTAGTTTTGTTGTCGGTCTGAGGGTACGAGAATTAATCTGCCACCCATGCCCCACCACCCACCCATATCACCCCTTACCACCTTGAATAGAGGGGCCATTGCCTAAACCATCGCCTATGATATATATCCTCATTAGGGCAGTGTTATTTATGAATTTGAATTGTTAGTTGTGCTGGCACTCTATTTATCAATTCCTAAGTATTACAATACACTTGGTAGTCAAACAAAAACCTGCAGAAACATAGTGTTCTTTGCAGTTGGAACTTAACGAAAGGACAAATGTAATTATTGACCTGTTTGTGTCTCGTTTGGCCAGACCAAAGCAGTTACTACTTTGTGGTGCTGCTACGTCAGGGCGCTGAAAACATTGTGGCAACGCCACTTGTGGCTGCTCACTCGCCGCCCAATGGGGACACGTTGACTTTCCCCACAACATTCACCGTGTGAGTACTTTGCCTGTGCCTCGTGTCCCTTGGTCGCCTGCCCTAAGACAAGTGTTTTTATTTTATTTCCTTGTGATTAGACGGTTTTAGTAAGGTTGTTCCAGTATCTTGTTAGTGCAGAGAAAATTTCACGTGGCAGAGAATTCAAGCTATAGAATATTCTTTGGTTCTTTCGGTAAAGTCACGTATAAAGATAAAATAATAAATTAAATAATAGCGTACGACGTTTCGATTGCAACACAAGCAATCATCATCAGGTATAAATGAAATAGCAACAAAAAATCTAACCAGAAAACTATAGACAGACATATAGGCAGACAGATATCACCAAGATACATAGAGAGAGTAACACAGGCACAGAGAGGGAGATAGTCTCTGTGGGGTGGCCTTAAATAGACAGAGGGGGGCGGAGGCAAGAGAGAGGGAGGGGTTAGAGAAAAAATTAACATGTCAATGAGTATGAAGAACGCGTAGTAAAGTACGCAGGCTTGAACATTAGGAGAGAGGGAGAAAGAACACACTAAATTAAATAACCTAGCAAAATATCGAAATGTTATGTAATACAACACAGAGAGTCGGTCAACACACAATTAACGCATAGCCTGGTCGATTACGTATTTCAAAGATTTTATTTATTATTTTATCTTTATACGTGACTTTACCGAAATAACCAAAGAATAATTCTTGCAGTCACGAAAGCTCCAAAATTAAGAATAACTATAGAATATTCCCTAAGCTAGAATGAACTGCCACGATCTGTAAGGGAAGGCTCCCTTTTGCCATTTCTGAAGTACATTTTAAAATATATTTTATGATATAGCGTTTACACTTGTAAATGTTGTATGTATAATTTCAGGTTAAGTTATTTAAAATGAGAGGTCACAGCATGAATTATGAATGATGGGTTTTAATTGCCTGATCTCTTGTGGTTTTATTTCCCTTTAGGCAAGATGTTGGAAGTGACTTTGGAATTTCTTTGGAGGTTTATTGCTTGGTAAGATAATTATATTCTTGCACTGTGGTGTAATTTAATCTTCATAGGCGCATGAATGCATATATACTTGTCCATTTTACTTCGGTGTCATAAAATGTATGTATGTTGAATATATTTCACCATACGTCGCCAGCTGTGCTAATTGTAAGTGTGGGGGTTGCACTCCTCAAATGCACCATCTCCTTTTAGTGTGTGTACAAATTTTTTATTTAAAGCTTTCGTGACTGCAGGGATTCATATTCTCTGGTTCTTTCGGTAAAGTCACGTAGAAGGGAAATAATAAAATAAGAAATATATAGTGTGTGTACAGTTTATTTTTGCATTGCTTTCGGTAATTATCGAGATACAATCACGTTTGATTATGTTAGCTGCCCTTCCTCAACATTAACTGTCTTGAACAATATTATTTTCAGAGTCAGAAGAAAGACGCCAATGTTCCTGAAAAGAAAAAGGCAAAGGTGAGATTGAGGGGGGAAAAAAAAAACCATGAAGACGCTGATACGTTTACCCCCAACTAAATTCATTGATACATTTACATGCTAGTATGTAAGTACAGCTGTTGATGTTGCCATTGCAATTCAGTTAATGTGCCTCAGTAGACTGCCTGCGTAGTTGATTATAATGTAAAGTGAAGTTTCCATGTTCAGTGCTCCTCAATGTGATGCTTGGTTGATTTGTTTTACACACAGGGTCTTACACCAAAAAAGCTCTTGTCTTCAATCACGGTGAGTTGCCTCTACTGTAGCAGAATTGACTGTTTCTGGTTGAGGTGGTCCTTGGTTATCTCCACTAGCTCTCAGTCATTCCCTGAGTCCACTCTAAGATCAGATCGCACTGTTTTCAAGGTTTATTAATGGACTCGCTTTCTTTCCTCTGTTATCTTGCTCTACTCTCATTCACATACTTTTTACTCCAGAAATGAAAGCCGATGGGCAAAACCCTCAATGAATCTTCACTGCATGCATTGTCTGGATTTTTCTTCTCACGATGTGTTGCTGCCCCCCTGCCCCCTATTCTTTGTCCAGGCTGTTTTTTCAATTGTACCACACTTATTTTTTTATATAGAGTTGCTTTTTTATCCCAGTAATGTACGTTCTTTTTTTTCAGCAGCAGTTGTATTCAGAGACAAAATAAAATCCAAATTGTACCGTTTATTATAAAATGGCAATGTAATTTCATTACAAATGTATTGTATTTAATTATAAATGGATTCTAATAGCAATGCTGTATCACAGTTTGTGTCGTTCATGGTAATGCAACCAAGTATACGGCACTGTTAATTGGTAACCTGGAAGAACTACACAGTTCACGTTGCATCAAAAAAGCACAGAACATTATAAAGGACTCTTCTCACCCTGGACACTCACTGTTTGAGCTGTTGCCATCAGGCAGACGATTCAGATCAGTCAAAACAAGGACAAACAGATTCAAACAGAGCTTTTATCCTACAGCGATCACCACACTCAATAATGCTAATTAATTATTAAGTAATAGTGTTTACAATTGACTGTGAAATAGAGATGTGCAATGACAATGTAACCTTATGTGGGTATGTGGGTATACTTGGGCTGTTTTTATCTATAGTATAAATTGATTATCTTTCATTTAATTTTATTTTTATTTTCTTGTTTTATTTAATTTAAATTTATGAATGATGCCCTGACTGGTGAGCATTTTAAATTTCGTTGTACTGGTGACAATGACAATAAACGATCTATCTATCTAACCTAGAGAATGTTTTATTACAGTAGATTACGATTTTTTATGTGATGTGCCCCCAACAACAATTAATGTTTTATGTATAATGTGAATGTCTGTGTGATGTCTTGTTTCATGTATAATTTTTTTGTTTTTGCAGAAAAGTGGCAGTAATTTGCATTCTCCATGTAAGTATTTCAAATGGTCTTGTTTGTAGTGCAGTCCATCAATATGCAGTACAAGCTGTGGATTGGAAGGACCATAGTTTGGTCATGATTTTACTTCTCTTTTGTATTGCAAAAAGCCCCGCAAATTGCTTTGTGTAAAGCCTGTCATCTTTGACAAGTTTACTGTCCTGTTGAACCGTGATCACTATATTTACTGGCTTAAGAGACACTTTATAATGGATGACCATATACTGTTTTAGTAATCACAAGAGGCTCTTCAAGACTGATTGGAATGCAACTTATAAAACATTGCGCTGCTGCAGTGTGTAATAATATGATTGAAAATTAATCTGAGGACAGTCCAAGTCTCAAGACTGTCACGTGGTTTTTGCATTGGGTTATATTGCACATACAGTCGGGAAGAACCTGGGCTAATGCTGGAATATTCAACATGTTTCTCATGGCAATATTTGCTGCTCCATGCCTATAACAGCTGACGACAAGCCCTGGCCAGTCACCCATCCAAGTACCAACCAGGCTCAAACCTCTGCTTAACTTCCCAAATCTGATGATATGGGACTTATTGAAGATGATTTGGTAGAAGATGATGAGGGCCCGGTGTTGTTTGTGTTGCAGCCATCGTGATTGGTGGGGGCACGAGGCCCAGTGGCTTCGTCCTAGTTGGTTCCCACCGCCTCTGCCTCTCCTCTGTCGGGCAAGCCAAATTTCCACTGGAAAAGGTATCTCGTGAAAGTGGCTATAATTCGAGTCACTTCTAGCCGTTGCACACTCAACCCTATGCTTTATTTATTGCTCACACAATCATAAAAATTATGCACGTGTTGGATTAATAAGGTGCTTTTGCCTCAGGTGCAGCGAATGTCGCCCCTGGAGGGAAACGTCTATTTGAAGTTCCAGTGCCGCGTTGACTCGAGTGTGGAGGAGCGAGGCTTCTTGGTACGACCTTTCTGTATGCCCCCACTGCTTTCTTAAAACCACAAGCATCATTGCTGCATAAGTCAGTATTGGTGTTAGTCATACATGTGCTCAGTACTGGCTTGCAAAGTGATAACCAAAATGGTTAGTGCACTGTGTTATTATAATTTCACTTGTTTACCCAGGGAAGCCTGACCTGAGTGCTTCTCATTCCAGAGGGTCCTGCCAATTATTCCAGTAGTTCTGGTTTTATTCCTGGCCGTGCATATTGTACACTAGGTTGCTTCAACTGGTGATGAAGCATGGCTATATGTATCCTGGTAAGGCTCTTGGAGTAGCCCGCTTAGCTATGATCCGCCGAGACGTAAACTGATACGTATAAGTGAGATGAAGAGGTAAAGGGGAGGAGAGACACCTTTCGAGACGAGGGGTCAAGATTATTACTCGCATGTACAGGCGTTCTTACATAATAACGTCATGACATAACGACTGCACACATGATCTGAGTCCACCAGCACACGTACATTGTATTATGTGGCCCGCCAAACAATTGTCGGTGAACCCTGTTGTAAACCTGTTGCAAATTTGTATCTGAACGTTCTCTGGACCTCTTGTAGTTCACCTCAGCCTAATATGACCATCTGATGCAGTCTCAGTAATATAAACACTGGTGAGATAAAAATTCAGACCTGGTCGAAAATATTTCATAAGTGCTTACTCCATCAGATTATACAACAAATGGAAAATCTTGTGTTCTGTGGTGCAGACGATGTTTGAAGAGGTGAGTGGGTTTGGAGCATGGCACCGGCGTTGGTGCGTGCTGTCCGGGAATTGCCTCTCCTACTGGACCTATCCAGATGATGAGAAGAGGAAGGTGGGTCCTTATGCATTTTCTGATATCTAAGTATTGTGTAGATAATTAGCAGATCATCAGTATGCATGTGTATATGTGGAGTATTCCTCCTAAACCGCTCTAGTGGAGGGATCAGAGTGATGTGGTCTAGTTTATGGATGTGAGTGAGGAATTGTCAGTGGAATTGGATTTATTAGTGCAGGACGACCTTGTTATACAGTCTAGCCATCTCAGGCAAGCACCTGCTTGCACCCCACGCTTGTGCCGGGCAGGATCCGATGGCTCGCGTGAACCTGGCGACCTGCGTGAACCGGCGCGTGGAGCCCGTGAACCGCGAGTTCTGCGCGCGCCAACACACGCTGGAACTGGTGACGGTGCGCTCCCAGCACCCCGACGACCGCGAGACGCTCACCACGCACATGCGCAACCGTCAGTGCGTGACCAAGTAAGTTCAATAGCAGACCGGGAGCAACAGGAGAGCTTCACCATTCTTGCCCGATGAAGCTGATTGTAATTATCAGCGAAACGTCGTAATCAAACTAAAAAAATGCCTTTGATTCTCTCTTCAGCACACCGGTGGGCTAAATAAGTGAATTATTTTGTCCTTTGAAAAACGTGACACATTTTTTACTGTTTGGCCGTGTCGGGTGGTGGAGGGTTACGACACATTTATAAATAACGCGATCTGACCCAAAAACCTATATTATGAATATTGGTCGCGAAAGCCTACGTGTTAAATTGACGGTGGCACCACTTCCGTAGCTAATGCATCACTGAGACCAGCAGCAGTAGGAGCTGGCTCTCATTACTGATGTCACGTCATAGAACTTAAGCGACCGCATATGGGCAGTGTTGAACAAGCAAGCATGGATAGAAAACCCTTCACTGTTGTTGGTAACACCGCCTTATAATTGTGTAATCGGATGTGGCCTTGTATATTCTTAAATATTAGTCTCAATATGTCACTGTTGTGCAAGTGCTAAAGATGATGGTGCTGATGTTATTGCCTTGAGTTTAAAGTCTTAGATGAACTACAGGTTCAATTAGTGTACATTGGCAGTAGATTGATCAGTGTAACTAGTGTGTGTTACTCATTAATTATATGATCACGTTGCCACCCCTTTATAGTCATCAAGCCACCTAAGGTACCTGAATCTTGACAATCTGAACATGCCACCTCAAACCAGGGCCAAATGCAGTGACTGACACTGGCCCTCTTGTGGTGGGTGTTAGGAACTGGCTATCGGCAGACTCGCGGGACGAGAGGAACCTGTGGATGGAGAAGTTCAACCAGGTGCTGATGAATTTACGCACCTGGCAGCCCGAGGCCTGCGCCGGGGCTGCCACTCGCTGAGCTCAACCACAGCTGTCGCCAACCATTTAGCTGAGACACTACCCTGGCAAAGCCGGAGCTGAGTGAGTAGAGAGAAAAGAGCCCCCTGGCGTTTGAGCCTGTGTGGGCTCGATAGCCAAGGGGGATACTCGCTATAGTTGGACTTAACCAACTGTTGTATAGACTCAGCCCGATTTAGCCAAACATAGCCTTACCAAACATGACCTGCCCTGAGATTGTTGCAGCCTTTATTTCGCGAAGCTTTCTGTTGGCCAGGCGTTGCAGAGCCACTTGTAATCAACGGTGAACTGTTATACTTGCCGAGCAGTCATTGCTTTATTGTGCACATTTACGAGTGGTTTAGCTTGAAACTGTAGTTGACGGGAAGATTGGGAAACCCATGTGCATACATCACGGATACGGGACACGATGCACTGCTGCCTTGATGATGATTCATAGCTGTACGGTCACACGTGCTTGAAGCTCACAAAGATTGCTCAAATTATTCCTGCATCACGTGTGTGCTTTTCCGCTAATTTATGCCGTGTACACGGGGGTATTGGGCCTAAGCTTGGTCAACTTTGGCTGAGCTAGACCTGTTTGGTTCACCATGGACACTCCCGTGTGCCTCGGATGCTCCCTGCTGTCAGGGCATCTTGTTCCACTTTTCTGTCTTTACGGTGTGCTTGGATAGTTTATCGTTTTTTTTACAAAGTATACAATTATTCAAAGGGGCAGTATTACAGTAGTATACTGCAGCTCAATTCTTTGAGATCTTTTTCTATTTGTTTTCAAAACTCTTCCAATTATATTGACATGCTATGAGGTGAAATGTCCATAAGTGTTGTTTCAGTGCCAAGCTCACTGCTTTTGAACCTATGAGTAACAGATAAATCTCATTTGCCATATATATTTAACTGGATATGGTATGCGATAACCCACATGAGCGTAAATTCAAAATTTATACTTTGGCAAAAAATTACAACGGTAAACGTTTGCACTAATTTACACGCTGTAACATGTACAGCACTTTAAACATGCGCACACCTTTCATACTTGGTTTTGCACTGGAAAAGCCATGTGAATATCCACACAATATGCGCTCGACCGAATTACTTGCTGCGTACAACCACATTTAATGATTGCATGTGGCTTTGGGTGTGCAGATATATATTTAGTGGGGAGCAGTAGTGTAGTGGTTGGCGTGCTGCGCTACGAACCTTTCACCCGAGTTCAATTCCCGCTCATGGCCAACACCAGTTACAATTATCTGAACCGGTCTTGGGCCTCCTTAGGTCATCTCGGCTTCAAATGTTTATCTGGTGCGGTGTGTAAAAACATTGCCACTGGGAAGACAAAGTTGGTCGGGTGTAGTACTGGCTCCACCCCCTTGTGTGCTGTGCCGGCCTTCATTGGTGCTTGCTTACAGCACTTGCCCCAACAGTGTTCAGGCTATACAGGGGATATTTTTCTTTGTCTTTTGTAGGTATATTTTAATATGAAATTCCATAAACAGCTCCTATGCATTGACTGAGATTAGTTAGACAGAAAATCAGTGAGGTGGAGTATGCGTAATTTATAAATCAGCTGCCGCATGACATTTACCAATCTGTTTACTCACTTTTGGTACAGGAATAAATTGGGCTAAGTGTCTGATCACACAAGGTTTATAAGTGTGGTCTTGGTATAGAATTTATCTGCGAATTCTGTCGACTGAATCGAAATGTGTTGAAGCTAGGTTGCACAAGATGCTTAGATGTTTTAGAAAAACCAAGTACAGTGGAAACATTGAGCAAGTACTAATGGTTTCAGATTTTAAAAAATAAAGTATACTGCTTGCCGATTAAATATAACCTTCTTATATAGCATTTAAGATATACAATAACTTGTGTCATTTTGTCCTGTCCTTTTAAATGTTTTAAATCTCTTTTTGGTAAAAAAAATATATCAGTCTTTACAGAACAGTTGCCGTCTAATATGTAGATTCCTCTAATTGTTTACCTGAATTGTAACTGCTTGAAAAAGAAATAAATGCTCTTTTACATCCAAATTGTATGCTCTGTTTTACTGCACTGAGCCTCGTGTGAAAATTGCTAATTGCAACCTTCAGCATGTCCCTACTAATGGTTTTATTGTACCATAACTACACAAAAAACCACACAATACAGATAAGTAAATGAAATGCATGACAACTATGATACATCTGAATCGCTTTAATGGAATGTTCCAGTTATTGTACAAAAATATCATAATAAATACGATATTCATACACTTCGATAATTTTCAAATCAGTGCCTAGTTATTTTTTACAATATGGCCACCAAGTTTTAAATTAACGCGTTTCCATAAGACAAACAACTGTTTTTGATCACATTCAATGACGATAATAATCGTGAATTAACTTAAAGGTTATAAATATGCACTTCCAGAAAACTTATCTTCACCTCACGATATGCAGGTTCTGTGTACAAATAACAAAACAAACAATATGGACCATCGACCAACAGTGGCCATTTAATGCTGTTCATTTCAAAATACTGTACGCACTTGTTTATTGAACAGCACACATGGCCTCACTTATTTATTCCATCTTTAAAGGATCGCATTGCTCACTGAAACTTACATTTCAGTGTATTTGTGAGAATGTGATCGAGACGTCCAACTCCTACACAGTAGCCGAGGGACAGCTCCACTATGGTAAGATTGCACGTTGTGTATTATACCGCTGCTGCTGCTACTCGCTCATCCCATGAAGTAAAACACTGTTGGCTGTGGAGAATCCATAACCGCAGTATACACTGTGCAAGTATTGTTGCGTTGTAATTGTATTAACCCCTTTTACAGCCATTGTATGTCAAATGTGTTACCTTGCAGTGAAAGTGGAGATGGAAAAGTGATGGATTCAATGCAGCAGAATTGTGGTCTTTGTGTTTCCATATTTTGCCACGAGATAACACGTATATCGTGTGTACCCTTGCAACCAAAATCACAATTGGTCACGAGAAGTAATGGAACCGGCACACCAGATCCTGAGATGCAAATGGCTGTAAAGGGGTTTGACAAAAATCAGACTGTTTTGACAATGACACTGGGTAGATATGAAAATACTTAATAGGTTTTTTTCCATTTTTTCTGGCAACAAAACTGACACCTTTTAACAAGGAATCATGTTTGCATTAACCACAATACCTGCAGTCAATGCATACAAAAAACACTGATAATGTATGCATTGTCCTTGAAATTGATTGGTCCACACCAGAGAAAAAAAAGCTGTCTGGTATGGACCAATACATTTCAAGGACTGCATACATTATCAGTTTTTTTATTTGCATTTTGACTGCAAGGTATTGTGGTTAATGCAAACTTGATTCCTTGTAAAAAGGTGTCGGTTTTGTAGCCAGAAAAAAGGGTAAAAAACCTATTATATTTTGCTACTGGCAAAGGAGGCCTCATGATAAAAATACTTAGAAACACATCTGTCATTGTTAGTTTTTTCAAGTTTCCCCAAATGGCAATTATATAAACGGCAAATGGTTGATGATGCCAAGGGGAGTGCTCAAATTCATTTAATGGCCATAATGCAATGAAAAGAAATTGTCAATTTTCACTGGCAATAGTTGCTGTATAATTTTCCATTTAAAAACATGGATTTGCCCAAATCTCAACAATTTGACCATTGCTCCCCCGAGTGGGAAACTGGGATGGCACTTTCCAATCAATGAAAGGCAGTTCACATGACGATCAAAAGTTAGGTGCACTTTGTATACCAATTATTGCACATGAACCATAGTTTTCAAGACTTTATTGACAAATCTCCTGTCACTGCCGAACCAAGTTGCTATAGTTGCTCATAATTGCGTTGCCGGTGAGGATTGCCAGAGAAAATTGACTAATTCGCCCTCGTGATTCACTGCCTTCAATTTAAGAACCTCCCCTGCCACTCAAAGATATTTTAAATAGAGCTAACACGAGGACAATGTTATTAATTACTTGAGCCCTTTAGTTCCCTCCTGTCTGTAGAACTGCCATCGCCAGCACGGTGACGAGGATATGCCAAGTCCATCGCTTGGTCATGTCACCGTCACCTTGCGCAAGTGCTTATTGGGAATATCCAGGGCTCCCACCCTCAAAGGCCATGCCCCTGCCAACACACCGGCCTGCACGGCCACGCCTGTCACCACAGCCAGCTCGGGGTCCACCCTCGTGTCGGGCTCCGAGCCGAAGTAGTCGGCCAGCATGCGGCGAACACGCGGGATGCGCGTCGAGCCGCCCACCAGTACAACGCGGTCGACCTGGGGAAGGGGCAGATTGGGGACACATTCCGAGAAGACGGAACGAGTCATGATCCAAATACAACTGGTCGAGAATCTCAAGTGAGCTGCCTTTGCACGTGTAAAAGTCTGGTTTGCAAGATTAATATTTTAATATTTCACCATGGGTCCTTCAAACAAAAACAATTGGAAGCACAACATAGATGTCAAAGCAGATGCCACAATTGCTCGTCAAAGTCCCAGTGGCATCTCCAAAAGTTGGCCATTAGTTCAGTTTGTCCAAACTCTAATATATTAAATTACCCAAAATAAAACAGTAAAATTACTGTCCCGATTAACCCACAACTCTCTTGACTAATGATCAAATTGCTTTAGTAGACCTTTGGGTTTCATTGCTTCCCTTATCTTTTAGAAGAGACAACAAAGTCCATCCCAGTTGCCTTAGGCCCCTTGATGGTTGTCCTACGTACATCAAAGTCCCTGAGCATGTATCCTTTTGGAAAGCAGAGTTCCCTGCAGGTTTGAAGATTCCACCCCTGCACTGTTTTGCATGGCTCTGGGGGGTTCTGGTGCTGACCTGCTTTGCGACAAGCCTCCCAGACCTCAGCACCTCCACAATTGGCTCCATAACCTTCTGGAAGAGGTCTTCATTCAGTGATTCGAACTCCTGGCGTGTCACCGTCTCATCCATCTCCACAGTGTGATGTGTGCCCTGGGGACAAAGGGATCAAGTGTTACTCCAAACTTGTCTTGTTATGCTGCTAAAAGCTAAGAAACTTTACAATTGTGTATAAGCTCACAAATATGAACAAATTCACATTCATCAATAACACTGACAATATAATCAGAACACTGCTCTGAAGGCCTATTGCTCAATGTCAGGCTATTATATATTTCCTATTGAAGGCAGTGATATTAATAAAGGGTGATATTTTTGGCATTTCAACTGCCACTACAGTTAACTTTTTCATCAAATTTTGTTGTTCATCTCTATTGGTCGCCCTTTGGAACCAGTCTCGTGACAGTTCTGAAACATTTGATGTCCTAAAAAGCCGTCCTCTTATCAAGTCTGGAAGGATGGACCAGGTCCACCTCCAACTGGGATGTGAACTCTACCTTCCAAATGATAGTCCATCACTGCCACGGCACCAGTTGCTGCTTTGATTAACATTAATATCACAACTGATTTATTGACAGACGTTCATCATTGTGCTTATAATTTGAGAAAGTATTGGTAATGCATGAAAAATGTTTTAAAGGGCCTTTTGCCCATCCAAGGACAAGTGTATTGCAGTAAATCTGAAACTTGCAAGCGAAAATCAGGCCGCGACGCTATTCATTGCATCAATTCGTGTGCAGTTTGTAAGGCTGCGGTGACACTTATTTTATTTAAAGGCTATAATCCCTTGTTCATCACGACGTCCTTTTTACTTCTGTCTCAATAGCATTACGGAAATCGCCTGACGCGAGGGTTCTTTGTAGTGAGGGTTATAAGTTGATGCTGAGGAGGGGGGAGGTGCCTCACATCCCCATGTGGAGTGACGTCACTAATTATTAATGGAGGGGGGGGTCCATTTGGAGGATGTCACCTGCTCATGATTATTAATAATTGGGGCTAGTCGACGTGGAGTGACGTCACACGCAGGACAGACATTGGCTAATTTTTAATGGCGTGATTGTTAGTTGCGCTTACCCATTTGAAACATCTCTTGATCAATGACTGAATCAAGATATTTTTCTAACCATCTTACTACTTCTGATGTATTAAAGATGTTTGTCCATAAATTGACTTTTAACTTGAGACCGAAAAGTAGCACGTGCACTCCCCGGTGCACAGCAGTCTCCTTATGTACACAGCAGGGGCGGGCATGACGAGTAGAGGCGCCACAGTGGCAAGATGTTAACTACCTTGCCTAGTATGCAGGAGGTCATGGTTGGTTCCCAACACTGACGCCTGTATATTTGGAGTTTGCATGTTCTCCCTGTAGTCGCGTGCATTTTTCTTCGGATCCTCCGGTTTTTCCCTCCACAGTTTAGAAACACGCATTTTTGTATGCTGTGAATTTCCACATGACAAGCCACTTCGTTGAGCCATCATTTGTGGCCAGGTCGCTTTTGAAAAAGAGCTATGGTAAAATAAAAATAGTCTATAGTTTAATTTCGATTTAAAGCTTCCGTGACTGCAGAGATTCATCTTCTTGGTTCTTTCGGTAAAGTCACGTAGAAGGGAAATAAAATAATACAAATAAAACATAATAAAATACTATTCTCACGACGTTTCGGCCACAACGCAAGCAGCCGTCCTCGGGTGAAGAACAGGTCTGTCGGACGCTGTCTTTCCGACAGACCTGTTCTTCACCTGAGAATGGCTGCTTGCGTTGTGGCCGAAACGTCGTGAGAATGGTATTTTATTATGTTTTATTATTTTTCTTCTACGTGACTTTACCGAAAGAACCAAGAAGAGGAGTCTAAAGTTTAGTTGAGAGTAAATATGCAATAGCTGTGAGCTCCGTACATTGTCGGGCGTGAACGCCAGCGAAAGGCGGAGCGACACGCGTGCCCTGTCGTTGTGCGTCAGCTCCAGCTTGGCCATCTCGGCCGCCTCGCGTAGGAGCTGCGTGTCTGCGCGGCCCCAGGGTCGGCCACCACCGTGCCGGTCCGCCAGCCGCCCCGTCAGGTGCTCCACCAGCCGCTGTGTGAAGTCTTGCCCGCCCAGGTGATTGTTACCTGCACGGGTGTGGGTGGACGGGGGAAGGGAATGCAAGCACAGGTAGATTGATGCAACACACATTCGAAAATATGTTCCAATGCACACAAGGTGGATGGGAAGTTCCGATATCCATGTCTTAAAAGCCGATATGGAGTGGTAGACATAAAAGTGTACAGGGATTTCCCACCCACACTGTACAAACATCGTGATGCAAAACGCCACACAGATGCATGTACAATGCATGGATACACACGCAACACACACTCACATGGACAACACATTTCAGTTGGCGCACAAATTCAGTTTGCGCGCGATTTGTAGATCCATATGTATGTATGTTTCCCACTGTACGAAGGCAATCGCGCTAATGGGCTCTGTGGTTCTGTCTCTCTTGCTTTGTAGATGTGCTTCTGCGGCTGTCTGGAACGCTCTTCCTTCTGATATTCGGAAGCCACGGGAGCTATGCACTTTGATATCTCGATGGAAAACTCACTTCTTGAGGACTGCTTTTTGGATTTAGTTTGTTGTCTTTCCCCCGCACCTCCGATTAGCACGGTTTGCCACGTAGAGTGTGAAAGAAGGTTCAACATACGTACGTAACTCTCCGTTTATATATTTTCATTCAGTTTTTTCTCCTGTTATTCCGTTTTTGTGTTAATTGTTTAACTTTTCGGATAGCATAAATCCAGGCCGACTGCGAGTCCATTGCAGCACACACCATAAATACAATAACGGACTCAAATATCTAACATTAAAAACCAAAGTAAAATCTCTAAACATTAATTCTAAAACACTTTCCACGTGCTTTTTTATGTTTTATAATGTTGGTTATGTGTTAGTATATTATGTTCATGACTTATAGGCTTTTTTCATTATTGTAGCAGCTTGCCAGACTTTTCACATCGCTGGACCAGGGCTCCCCGAACCCAGCTCGCCTGGGGTCTTATGGTATACACAATCATTAAGAAGCCAACAAAATGTGCCCTGGTAACTCAAACAATTTAAAACATCAAAGGACTACCGAGCAGGTTAATTTGCGACTTTTATTAGAGCCCATTACACCGTTACTGCTGTGGTTACGGGTGAATGCTGGTGGAACCAGTTTTAATTAACCTATTATCGCAGTTATGGCATGCTGCCTGTTTCCAAGAGCGCAATTAGTGGTTAAGGAGAGGCTCGCAAGATCACACATTGAGCTGTAAAAATCCCAACAGCGCCACAGTTTGTTGCACAGGAAGTCTCTTCCACCTGGACCGTGGTGAGTTCAACAGGATTGTTGCACGTGTGCGATGATGTTGCTGAATAGGTCACAGTAAGGTTCACTGTTGATTCTGATCAGGCTAGGACTACATTTGAGATGCATTTTCGGTATATCCTGTGTGCAGGCTAGGCTAAAAATCGCCTTGAAAACTCCAAATTTAAAGCAGAAATTTAAAGATGATATTTTAGATAAATTAGTATGCACACATGCTAATGTACTATCAGACCACAAACTTTGAGGCCTATTTTATTTTTGTATATTGCTCTAAATGGTTGTGAGTACACCTGTAATGCCTTTTGGGTTTAAATGCTGGATTGTAATTCAATGGGCTCTCTGATTAACGGCTGCCCAAAATGCTGGGAGACAAAGCTGGCTGGGCATACACCATGCTGTCAGTATTGTGTGCGCGCGCGTGTGGGAGAGGTGGCACGTACCCGCCATAGCGCGTGTGAAGAACATGCCACCCTGCTTGGTGAGCAGCGACACGTCCGTGGTGCCACCGCCGAGGTCGACGACCAGCACGGAGCTGACGCTCTCCTCCTCGTGCAGGCCGTACGCCAGCGCAGCAGCCGTCGGCTCGTTCACCACGCGCAGCACCTCCAGGCCTGCGTGCGCACACGGCCACATGCCCCTCTCCGTGTACGTGGGCAATAGTTGGGTGCATTTTCATCTCACGAGGATAGAGGGCAGCTATTCCCATGGTAAAGGTTGCTGTGGTGTTGGTGGATGGCTGCATACATTAAGCGCCATTATCAATCGGTATACACAGCGATGATCTTAGAGCACTCGACTCGCAATTGCAAGAATGCATAGTTTAAATTTCGGTCATTAAATGACTCAGACCATCACCCATTTGGAATTGATATATTGAATAAAAAATTTTGGACGTCGACAGTTAAATCTCTATAGATATACAAACCTCTGCTGCAATAATCTTCTGTACTATCCATAGTGCCAGCATGCGACACACACAGCAACTCTCGCCCGTAAGACAACTCTCGTACCAGCCATGGTTGCCGCCTTGATGGTGCTGTTGCGCTGTCGTTCGTCAAACTCTGCGGGCACAGCGAGCACGGCGTACCGCACAGGCAGGCCCAGTCGCTCCTCGGCCAGGAGACGCAGCTGATCCAACATCTGCGCGCCCACCCACTCCGGGGTGACGGTCTGCTCCGCACCCCCGTGTCCCCGCAGCACGAACACCACCTCCCCGGATACCTGTCGCACCTGCCAAGCCGCACGACCACATCATCGACTTGCTTCGTTACAGACATCCATTCATGAATCTCGGCTCATTCATTCATTGGTTAATGTGTGCCAGCTCTTCAGCTAGGTACATTCTCTTGTCACAGATGATGTCACCGGGAAGTCGATTCTTATGCTCACGATATGTGCATCAATTCACGTTCGTAATCATCTACTGCATACGATTCACGAATAAACATGCAAATGTTACTTGCAGGCTACGGAAACAAGATAGGCAAATACAGATAATATGGAACGGCGCAAGCACCACATAAGATCTTGCCAAGACTAAACAGTGCAGCACAGAATATAACCAAGCGAGTACAAACATAACACGAAATAATTTATTCGCTAATCAAATCATATTCCCACGCTAATCACAGGGAGGAGGGGGGGGAGCTTCCGTCGTTACGCACGAAGCCAGCACTCACCGTGAACTGGTAGCGCCCGGCCTCGCGCTCCAGCTCGCCAGGTGAGAAAGCGCGCCCGATGAAGCGCTTGGCGTCGTAGAGCGTGGCGTGCGGGTTGTCGGCCGCCTGCTGCAGCGCGGGAAAGCCGGCAAGGACATGGCCGTCGGGGCCCGCGGCCACGACGCTGGGGAAGGCGCGTCGCCCGTCCGCGTCGGCCAGTACCTCCACCTGCGCGCCGTGCGGATATAACCAACCATGCCTGAGTACAACACTCCCATCTACGAGCAAAGTGGCTGCGTTTGTGTCCTGTGTTTCCGTTCATGACTGATGGTGATTTGCATTGCTTGTTAAGGTGGTATGGTACAAACCTGCAATATAGATGTTTACGAATGAGCCACAGTTACTTCGTCTGCCCTGTGTGGACTAAGTCTAATACGAGTACCTGGAGTGGAAATTATACATTGACATGGGAACATTGGGGAGACAAATGTGACTGGGTGTGGCGCTGTAGGTTTAATGAATCGCATCTGCTGATCAAGATGCCTGCAGGAGGCTGGACAGCTAATGTGTTTGACCCAAGAGTGTGAAATTTGTACATGTGGAATTTCCTGGGACAATTTGTATTATTTCCACAAAACGAGATATTCAACTTAATCGGTCATTCATTCCAAATGAAGACTTTTGTAAATTTCCTTACTCATTGGTGCATTTTCTGGATTGTCCAATCTGGTTTCATTTTGGTGGCCATTCACATACACCTAAATGAGACAATTCTCCAAAGTTTTTCTCCCAATGTTCCAAAAGGATATCCTCATAGTATTTATTACTCATTAAGGTTTTTACGAATGACCCACAGCTACAAAATAAATTGACCGGAACGCCTCATGTTTAAGAAATAACATAAATATATTGACGGATTGCTCTGTCCATAACTATATTTGCGCTGCCATCAGAGGGTATTCTGTTGGACTTAATTGTTCCCTCCAACATTTAATGACAAACTCAGGTGCCTTCAGGTAGATCCATTCCTGTATAGCACATAGTGGGTTCAAATTTCTGTTTTTCTTCAGGAAGTAGTGTTCATTTAAGTGTCAAGTACTTGAAAAATGTATGGCATAGTTACTAATTTCACTTAAGGCGGTAAAATATAAATACCCTTACTTTTTCAAATGTATTTGGGAGAGTTAAGGAGAACGAGAATTCTAAAATGTGTAAAAATATCTCTACTGTGAATGTTAGTGATTGTCCATATGCTGAAGCAGTAACGGTTTTCATACGAAATAACACACCTCCCCCACTCCAGCATGGTACACCCCGATTGAGCAGTACGTGGTGCCCAGGTCGATACCAACGATTCGAGGCTTTGGTGGGGGCAGGTACTGCTGTCCAAGGTAACCGGCAAGGAGCAGGGCCAAGACTGCCATGCCTGTAAAAGGAGACACAATTGCGATGACGTGACAATGCTGGGGACATTGACCACATATCTTCATTTTTTATGCTTTAGCAAATTAATGTTCGTAGTCTTGTCAAGATGTCATGCTCTGGGAGAGTTTAGCCAAATGGAAACCAACGGCTCAACATTTGCACAATACAGAATAACCATATCCTAACATCAAATTACCAATATTAGTTTTGTATCAAGATACGTATCGGGAATTATTTTGTGACAGTACACGTCCCAGTTAAGGTAAAGGTAAATGTGATACGTCAATGGCACTGGTTAGATATAGAGAAGTGCATTGAATACGCACGACATTCCACACGGTTAAGTGTGACACGGGTAGCATAAACTGCAGACATTACAGGGATGTAAAGTGTAATGCACCTGATGAGTGTCACGTGAAAGGCACTACATTAATAATCCAAAGTACAACGTGGGTTATTTTTCATAGAGACTGCAAAGCACAGATATTGCAAGGCTATTTAGAGAAGCAAGTGTAAAAGGCACAAACATGGAACACATGCAAAAGGTAATGTGACATATAGGGCAAATGGTACTACAAACATGACAAGGCTGCACACACGAACAACAGCGGTGATTTTACACAGAGGTGCGTCACAGGCTATGTTTGGGTCTTTTGCATGAGGCAACATGAGAAAATGTCTATAACATCTGACACGAAATTGGTAATGTGACGTGTAAATAGCCATTACGCCTGACACATGTAAGAGGGACTTGATACATTACAGGCTATATACAAGCACATGTGATAACCGATATAACAAGTGCAATAGGCTATGTCACGATACACTCCACTACTCCCGAGAGTATTTATCTGGCTCCAACACCTGTGTAAAATTACAGCTGTTGCTCAACACCAGCCATACGAGTAAGTCAGGATGTAATTAAGGATGAGGAGGGTTTCGGCCACAACCGTTTGGAGGAAATGACGAATGAGTTAGATGTTGCGCATACCGAGGAGGGCAGAGTTGACATCATAATCTGTTTGTACTGGGGAAATCCGATGAGCTATAATTTCTTCACAGATGTCCAGATGTGTAAAGAACGAGAGCTTAAGGCATCAGTGTGCACGCAATGGGTCTCGCATGTTTCCAGTGTGATGTCAAGAGGTCGACTTTTTTTTTCTAAATTAAATATTTTCTAACGAGTTTGTACTTAAGTTTTTGTCAATTTCTCTATATAAAAGTTGGAAGACTCAAGATGAGACGGCGTCAAGGAAAGATATTGAGAGTGGACTACGGCGGTCGAGTTCAGGGAGTCGTTGACTATATTGAGCCGGGTGTCATCGGCATGAAGGACTGAATGGTCGACATGAAACCCGTAGCTGATATTGCCAACTTGAAGCATATATAATGAAGCGCAGTTGGGCCAAGGGTGGAACCTCGTAAGGACACCAGGGCACAGGGATTTCTGAGCAGTCCTAGCAGTGTGAACACGTAGAAGTGTGTTGGAGATGCCTGCGCGACTCTGGAAACGCTCAGGGAGTTTGGAGCAGGAGAGACATCGGGCATTGACACGCGTCATTAGCGAGAGAGAGACGTCTCGTTAGGAGCACGTTGACAGGCTCTAACGCAGCCGTGACACGTGTCACGGCTGCGTTAGATACAATGCACACTCTGTGTGGCGATGCTGTTGCTGCTGCTGCGTAGGCAGTAGTGCACAAGCACAGCATAACAAAACAACGCATCAACACACTCGTCAACAACGCCGCCTTGAAAGGAACAATAAAACACATGTAATAGACGACGTTTCGGGCAATAAGGCCTTATCCACAATACATACCTAGCATGGTGTACTCGCCAGCCATGGCTCAAGTCTCCACCGGCTTCACGCCGAGTGTGGGAAGGAAGAAGAAGAGGGCGAGTTACTGCCTCCCGGGATCGGTAGCCACGTGAGACCGTCTGATATCGATAAGCCACCCGAGATCGATAGCCCCGTGAGACCACCCGAGATCGGTAGCAGCTCCAGATCACCCGAGACCGGTAGCCGTGTGAGACCGTCTGATATCGATAAGCCACCCGAGATCGATAGCGGCTCGAGATCGGTAGCCGTGCGAGATCACCCGAGATCGGTAGCCGTGTGAGACCGTCTGATATCGATAAGCCACCCGAGATCGATAGCGGCTCGAGATCGCCCGAGATCGGTAGCCGTGAGACCACCCGAGATCGATAGCCGCGTTGAGCCGCTTGAGATCGGTAGCCGTGTGAGACCTCTCGAGATCGGTAGTCGCGCGAGACCGCCTGATATCGATAAGCCACCCGATATCGATAAGCCACCCGATATCGATAAGCCGCTCGGTATCGGTGGCCCCCCGAGGAGTGAGCGTCGCTTCCTGCCCGGTGACGACGTCCGCACGTGGGCGGGTGACGTCGGCGCCAACGCGCTACGGGTCCCGCCACGTGCCGTGTCAACACGCGCAACAACCAAAGCGCGTTTCGTAATTAAATTTTTGACAGCTCCTAGGCATTGCACTTGACCACGTGTTCTTCTAACAGGGGAATTGAGATTGCAGGTCCACACGGCGTGCAACCGTTTCAATACGGGCAAAAAAACATGTGTTGTATATTTCTTTGTGTTTCTCCCTTATGATGGTGTTTTGTAGGATGAACGTTGGGATTTATAAGGGCACGTGGTGACCAATAAGGTCTTAATTGGTCTGATTAAGGTAGGGGGCACTGACAAGGGGTTGACAGGTATGTAGTGGGGAGTGTACTAGTGGTGAGTAGTGGTGGTGATTGTCTATTTGTTTGTGTTTCTCCCTTATAATGGGATGGCACTTTGTAGGATGAACGTTGAGATGTATAAGGGGAACGTGGTAACCACTAAGGTCTGATTTGGTCTGTAATAAGATAGGGCACTGATAAGGGGTTGACAGGTATGCTGTACTATATATAAACTATTTATATATATATTTTTAATGTTAACGTGTAAGGCCCCACTGAGTTATGTCAGAAGCGACATGGAAATCACAAATGATATGGCTCAACGAAATGGCTCATCACGTGGAAATGTATCGCAGCCAAATACCCCGAAATGTTCAAGTTCAAGTCCATGTATTAGGTATAGCCCTGTGAGCCATTCGGTTCTTGAATCGGGTGCAACCACAACAAACAAAAAACTAAAACATCTAAACGTGACTGTGTGACTTTGTGCAAACAGAAAATCCAAGAAAAGACAGCAAAATATTGCAGAATGTGGAGGGGAAACCCCGGGGACTTTACATTTCCAAACGTTCAGAGGCCACTTCGTTGAGCTCTCATTTGTGGCCAGATTCCCTTCTGAAAAGAGAAGCTTCATAGCTCGGTGGGCATGACCCGGTTCTGTGTTTAATCTCTCTCTCAAATTTAGCATTCTCAGGAAGAACGTAATCAACCAGGTAGGGTGTTGACTGTTATGTTATCCGACTCTCTGTTGTATTACATTACATTTCTAAGTATACTAGATTTATGTTTCTATTTCATTTATACCTGATGATGATTGTTTGTGTTGCAATCGAAACGTCGTATGCTAGTATTTAATTTATTATTTTCTCTTTATACGTGACTTTACCGAAAGAACCAAAGAGTAATGACCTGATTTAAAGCTTTCGTGACTGCAGGGATTCATCTTGGTTCTTTCGGTAAAGTCACGTGGAAGGGAAGTAATAAAATAATAAAAATAGTATTGTTTTATTTATATTATTGTATTACTTCCCTTCTACGTGACTTTACCGAAAGAACCAAGAAGATGAATGACCTGGCAAACTCAAATTTAGTTTTATCTGTATATTATTAAGTGCTTTGTTTATCTGTATATTATTAAGTGCTTTGTTTATCTGTATATTATTAAGTGCTTTGTTTCATATACTTTGCACTCCCATAGTGTTTTTGTACTGCTTGTTGTTGTTGTTAACGTTCTAACCCGCCTCCCCTTACTTGACATCTGCCACTAAGAGCTTCACAGCTCATCAGATTCCTTCCAGCATGAACAGATCCTGACCGGTCAAATGACGATTCGTCGATTCCAAAACTCCGCGCTTCGCCGCGTCACACACGATTCCGATCCGAGCCATTCGCCCACGTAGGAATCGAATCGTGATAATCACCGCAGCGTATATCACCCGAATCGATTCCGCCACCACCACCAGCAGCCACCAACAACAAGAAGCGATGGCGGCGCGCTGGAGTTGCGAGAACGTCGTGGTCGAGTACAGGGACGCGCAGGTCACCCGAGCTCACAGCGCCCATTCGCCGCGTTGCCTCACTCTTAAATGAACGTCTCGCAACTACTTTTTGCTGGGTGGGCGATGGGCGGTGTGGGGTGGCGAGTTGGTAGAGGCAAGGAGGAGCCGGTGCGGTAGAGGCGGCGGGGGTCGCACGGAGACCGGCTCCCCTTCCTGGCACGGCTCGGCTCGGCACGGCTCGGCACGGCTCGGCTCGGCTCTGTGCTCGGCACGGCTCGGCTCGGCACGGCACGGCTCGGCTCGGCTCGGCACGGCTCGGCTCGGCACGGCTCTGTGCTCGGCCCGACCATTGGCGGGTTTCATTGCAAACGGGGGGGGGGCCCTTCTCACCCGTAGGCGAACAGCGTTGCGATTTGTAAACACAATCACGCGGCGCGTCGGTGTTCACGCAATTTAGTCAAATGCATATTCTGTGCCGTTGTGTGTGCTTGTGACTTAAAGCACAGTGCGTGTGTGTGTGTGTACAGAACTACATTGCGTGTTGCACGTGTGTGTGTGTACAGCACTGTGCATTGCGTGTTGCACGTGTGTGTGTGTACAGCACTGTGCATTGTGTGTTGCACGTGTGTGTGTGTGTACAGCACTGTGTATTGCGTGTTGCACGTGTGTGTGTGTACAGCACTGTGCATTGTGTGTTGCACGTGTGTGTGTGTGTACAGCACTGTGCATTGCGTGTTGCACGTGTGTGTGTGTACAGCACTGTGCATTGTGTGTTGCACGTGTGTGTGTGTGTACAGCACTGTGCATTGCGTGTTGCACGTGTGTGTGTGTACAGCACTGTGCACTGCGTGTTACACGTGTGTGTGTGTACAGCACTGTGCATTGCGTGTTGCACGTGTGTGTGTGTACAGCACTGTGTATTGCGTGTTGCACGTGTGTGTGTGTACAGCACTGTGCATTGTGTGTTGCACGTGTGTGTGTGTACAGCACTGTGCATTGCGTGTTGCACGTGTGTGTGTTGTCAGCACTGTGCATTGCGTGTTGCACGTGGTGTGTGTTACCGCACTGTGCATTGTGTGTTGCACGTGTGTGTGTGTACAGCACTGTGCATTGCGTGTTGCACGTGTGTGTGTGTGTGACAGCACTGTGCATTGCGTGTTGCACGTTGTGTGTGTGTACAGCACTGTGGCATTGTCGTGTTGCCGTGTTGTGTGTGTGTACAGCACTGCTGCATTGCGTGTTGCACGTGTGTGTGTGTGTACAGCACTGTGCATTGCGTGTTGCACGTGTGTGTGTGTACATCAACTGTGCATTGCGTGTTGCACGTGTGTGTGTGTGTACAGCACGGTGCATTGCGTGTTTGCACGTGGGTGTGTGTACATCACTGTGCATTGCCCCGTGTTGTGCATTGCGTGTTGCACGTGTGTGTGTGTGTGTACAGCACTGTGCATTGCGTGTTGCACGTGTGTGTGTGTGTACAGCACTGTGCATTGCGTGTTGCACGTGTGTGTGTGTGTACAGCACTGTGCATTGTGTGTTGCACGTGTGTGTGTGTACAGCACTGCGCATTGCGTGTTGCACGTGTGTGTGTGTGTACAGCACTGTGCATTGCGTGTTGCACGTGTGTGTGTGTACAGCACTGTGCATTGCGTGTTGCACGTGTGTGTGTGTACATCACTGTGCATTGCGTGTTGCACGTGTGTGTGTGTACAGCACTGTGCATTGCGTGTTGCACGTGTGTGTGTGTACATCACTGTGCATTGCGTGTTACACGCGTGTGCTCTCTGCAGTACTCTACTCTGGTGTGTCATGTAAACATTGGGGAGTGGGGAAGTGTGCTGCGCTATACGACCCGAGTTCAATTCCCGCTCACGGCCACCAACATCGGTGACGATTTTCTGAACCAGTCCTGGGCCTTTCCATTCAAAATGAGTACCTGGTGCGGTGTGTAAACATCGCCACTGGGGAGACGAAGGCGGCCGGGCGTGGTGCTGACCACCCACCCCCTTCATAGGTGCTACTCGCTAACAACACTTGCCCCAACAGTCTGTTAAGCCTGTAGGGAGGGTGGGGGTCGTGGTCATTGCTGAATAACATTTTACATATTCTTGGTTCTTTCGGTAAAGTCACGTAGAAGGGAAATAATAAAATAATACAAATTAAAAAAAATAAAAATTCTCAACACAAGCAATCATCATCAGGTGTGAAATCCACAGCAAGAAAATTTGAACTTTGCAGTCGAAACGTCGTGAGAATTTTTATTGTTTTATATTTGTATCATTTTATTATTTCCCTTCTACGTGACTTTACCGAAAGAACCAAGAATATGAATCCCTGCAGTCGCGAAAGCTTTAAATCAAAACATTTAAAATAATTAATTCGTGGCCCCCTTTGCGACCCACTTGCTGGATGAGAGGGCCTTCCAGAACCGTCGTTGGCCCATGGGGGTGTCTGTTGACGATACTTCACCCACGCTGGTCACCTTTTGGGGTGAAGGTGCAGCAGCAGAGATGAGGTTCATGTAGCACTCAACACTGTGGCCCGGAATCCAACCCAAGTTGCCAGGTTTATAACAGGGGGCCCATTACTTTGTTGACGATATCCACGTTTATTACATCCATTGAACTGTACTTTTTTCATCTCCTTTTCTCATCCTGAGAAGAGTCTGCGTTGACTTTTCTTCAAGTGTGGACAGCTGGGCGATATTGGGAGGCTACTTGGGTACGCCTGTCAATACAGCGCTGTTGAAGGTCCCGGAGTTGGTGGATTCCGCAAAAGTTTGCGAGACTTCCCGTGAGCGTCGAGGAAGTGCAGTAGAAAGGAAATGCATTCGAGCAAAACGTGGACTCTACCTGACCCGTCTGTATGAGATGAGAGTGTCTCCCCCGAGCTCGCGTGGCTTTTATCTGGGCACTCTGGTTTCCCTTCCACGTAAAAAGAAAACACTCATTCATTGGCCGATAACACCTTAATATGTAGAGGACCGTAGAGCTTTGGGCAGTGGTTGGCACCGTACTCATTGTCTGGCTCCTCCTCGTGCCTCTGAGTCGTTCTCTTCGAGAGTGAGCGAATACATTACAAGGCTGCCAATCTTGCTATCTACAACTTACTCCTCTTCACTATGCGGTTACTGCTTAATAATTAGCTCTTGTAGAATACGTCGTCGTTTGCTTCGTCTGTTGT